TAGGTCGTTGGGGTCTTTTTGGGGTAATGTTGTGCCTTTTGGGGTACTTTTGTGTCTCTTTGAGAACATTTTGTGTCTTTGTTTGGTCTTTTGTGTCTTCTTGGGGTAATTTAGAGTCTTTTTTAGGTCTTTTGTGTCTTTTTTTAGGTCTTTTGTGTCTTTTTGAGGCAATTTTGTGTCTCTTTGGGGTACATTTGTGTCTCTTCGAAGGCATTTTGTTACATTTTGAGGTAATTTAGTGTCTTTTTTAGGTCGTTGGGGTCTTTTTGGGGGTAATGTGCCTTTTGGGGTACTTCTGTGTCTCTTTGAGAACATTTTGTGTATTTGTTTGGTCTTTTGTGTCTTCTTGGGGTAATTTAGAGTCTTTTTTAGGTCTTTTGTGTCTTTTTTTAGGTCTGTGTCTTTTTGAGGCAATTTTGTGTCTCTTTGGGGTACATTTGTGTCTCTTCGAGGGCATTTTGTTACATTTTGAGGTAATTTAATGTCTTTTTTAGGTCTTTGGGGTCTTTTGGGGGTAATTTTGGGTACATTTGTGTATCTTCGAGAACATTTTGTGTCTTTTTGAGGTAATTTAGTGTCTTTTTTAGGTCGTTGGGGTCTTTTTGGGGGTAATGTGCTTTTTGGGGTACTTCTGTGTCTCTTTGAGAATATTTTGTGTCTTTGTTAGGTCTTTTGTGTCTTTTTGAGGTAATTTTGCGTCTCTTTGGGGTACATTTGTGTCTTTTCGAGGGCATTTTGTTACATTTTGAGGTCATTTAATGTCTTTTTTAGGTCTTTGGGGTCTTTTGGGGGTAATGTTTGCCTTTTGGGGTACTTCTGTGTCTCTTTGAGAACATTTTGTGTCTTTTCATAGTGGTTTGTGTCTCTGTGTAGTCATTTTGTGTCTGCTTGTGGTTGTTCTGTGTCTTTTTGTAGTTGTTTGGGTCCTTTTGAGGTAATTTTGCATCACATTGAGGTCATTTTGTGTATTTTTTGGTGGTTTTGGTCTCTATAGTTGTTTTATTTCTTTTTGGAATCATTTGGGTCCTTTTGAGGTAATTTTGTGTCTTATTGGGGTTATTTTGTATATATTCTTTTGTGGTTTGTTGTCTCTTTGTAGTCATTTTGTGCCTTTTGAGGGTCATTTTTGTCACTTAACAATTATTTTGTGTCTCTTTGTAGTTCTTTTGAGTCTCTTCCTGGTCAGTACATGTTAATTTCAGTGACATTTTGCAAATGAAAGGCCAAGGGGCCCCCTGGGCCTGTGCCGGTTGGACCATTCAGTAATCTATTAGTGGATGTAATCCCTCTCTAATCACCAACAGTTTGATTTGGAACAATAATTTAATTACATATTTTCTCACAGTAACGGATCACAATTACATTTATTTTGTAATTTAATTATGTAACTCCTTTATATGTAACTAGTTACTCCACAGCACTGGGAGTGTATTGCAAAGATGTTATTCTAATCAGTCTTTTCAGATGGGAATAGTGCTCATGGAAAGGTTTGACTTGCCTGATTTAAATACAGAATAAAGTAGTGGAATAATGAAGAATGTGAAAATCAACAGGAGGAGTTGCTGTGTGTCGGCCACAGCTGAAGATGTTTAATTAACCCTGACACACTGACACTATTCTTCATCATGCAGCAGCAGGCGTGGAGGTGGTGGAGCTGTGATTTGTGTGGTCATCACACTGTTGGACTCCTCTTCCTCTTCCACAGCTGGAGGCCTGCAGTCACGACATCCTTAACGTCAAGTCATGTCACGATTAAAGTGTGAGTAATCAGAGAGAGTCCTGTGGTGGGAAAAAGGTCACTATGTATTTAAAGAATGGGATGTGAAAATGAGTCTTTGTTCATTATATGGTGTTTAAGCATTCGTGCTAACTGACTTGTTCTCCAAGCAGAATTAACACAATATTAATTATCTTTTAAATGTGTAATATTCAAAAAGCTGGAGTTGTATTTATGCTGCCAGTTCCTTCCTCTTCACCAATCACTGCAATTATGTCTTCATTTATGCCAAAACAGTTACATCAAGTGTTTTGTTTGCAGTCTGACATTTAGATGTGTTTACTTCCACTGACTCAAAGTGACGGCATGAAGGGTGGCGGAGACTGGTAAGCAGCCTCATTAACATTTGAGTCACATTGTGTCATTAACAACACGGCGCAGCATGCAGGACTCACGTTGACACACCTACGAACAGGGCTGGTTGTAATGGAATACATGTATTCAGGATTATGTAATCAGATTACAAAAATAAGTAAGTAGCTACAGTAAACCCACATAATATCGGACCTGTAATTAGATTATAGTTCAATTCTCAAGGATTACTTGGTTATATTTTTGACTGCATCTTCAACATATGGCAATTTAGAAATAATGAATCTTTTTTATGATGATCAACGCTCCATTAAAAACTCAAACTCTAGAAAAAATGTTGGCATTGTACGTTTCTGCAAACACAGGATACATTACATTTGCATGTTAGTGATTGTGTTTACTTGTTCATTGCTGTATGTAGCAGACACTGTAAAACCTTTTCTTTTGAAAACACTGTGGTTAAGGCACAAAACCACTTGGTTATGGTGAGGAAGAACTCATGTTTTGACCCAAAAAGCACCCACCTGCTTTTGTGGCACAATCCTCGCAGGAAACACAGCAATGTCTCCGTAAAAAACAACCACTATTTGTGGCACTATCCTGGCTGGAAAAACAGTGACAGGTGCCAAAAGGAAAACACGCATCTGAGGGCTGAAAAGACACTGCTGCAACAGCCACAGGTTGCCAAAAACCTGGGGGCTGTAAAGCCACTGAAAAGAACAGCGACAGGTCTCTAAAAAACATCCATGTTTGGGAGCTACAAAGCAGCTGAAAAAAGATTCATGGGTCCCTAAAAATGTTTAGGGGTTAAAAAACAATGGATAAAGGGCCACTGGTCGCTGAAAAACATGCATGTTTGAGGACTAAAAAGCTTCAGGAAAAACAGCAACGGGTTGCGTAAAAGCACCCACTTTTCGGGGCTAAAAAGCCACAGGAAAAAAAGTCACAATTCCCCAGAAACAAACATGTTTGCTGCCTCAAAAGCTGCTGGGAAAAGAGCTACAGGTTGCTAAAAACCACCCACATTCGGGAGCTGAAAATCTGCAGGAAAAAGACTCATGAGTCCCAAAAAACAGCCTGGTTGGGGGCTGTAAAGTTGCTGGAAAAACAGCAACAAGTTGCTAAAAAACAACATGTTTGGTGCCGAAAAGGCTGCTGGAAAAACAACCACGGGATGCTAAAAAAAATACCAACGTTTAGTTGCTTAAAAGCTGCTAGAAAAACGACAGGCAATAAAAAATAAAACACCTACTGTTCAAGACTAAAAAGCCACAGGAAAAAAAGTCACAAGTCCCCAAAAACAGACGTGTTACCTGGAAAGCCACTGGAAAAGGATAGATGGGTTGCCAAAAGGCACCCACTTTTGGGGCTGAAAAGCTGTTGGAAAAAGACCAACATGTTGTTAAAAACCACCCACTTTTGGGGGCTGATAATCTATTGTAAAAAGAGGAAGAAGTCCCTAAAAACATCCATGTTTGGTGCCTGAAAAGCCACTAAAAACAGTCACGTGTCCTCAAAAACATCCATGTTTGGAGAGTTGAAAGCCGCTGGAGACACAACTATGGGTTGCAAAGAAACACCAACATTTAGTTGCAAAAAAGCCACAAGTCCCCAAAAACAGACATTTTGCTGCCTCAAAAGCTGCTGGGAAAAGAGCTACAGGTTGCTAAAAACCACCCACATTTGGGAGCTGAAAAGCTGCTGGATAAAGAGCCATGAGTCCCCAAAAAACGAAAAGCTGCTGGAAAAAGACAATTGGTTGCTAAAAAACACCCATGTTTGGTGCCTAAAAAGCTGCTAAAAACAGTCACACGTCCACAAAAACAACCATGTTTGGAGGCTTAAAAGCCACTGGAAACTCAACCATGGGTTGCAAAGAAACATCATTGTACAGTTGCTAAAAAGCTGGTGAAAAAACAGCAACAGGCACTAAAAAGAGACGTTTGCTGCCTCAAAAGCCTCTGGAAAAAGAGCAACAGGTTGCTAAAAAACGCCCATGTTTGGTGCCTAAAAAGCCACTAAAAAACATTCACGAGTCCCCCAAAACAGCCATGTTTGGTGCTTAAATAGCTGCTGGAAAAAGAGCTACAGGTTGCTACAAACCAGTGGAAAAAGAGCTATGAGCCCCCCAAGCTTGGGGGCTAAAAAGCTGCTGGAAAAAGAGCAACAAGTTGCTTAAAAATCAGCCACGTTTGGTGCCTACAAAAACTCTGGAAAACCAGCCACAAGTCGGTGAAATACATCCATGTTTAGTTTCTAAAAAGCTGCTGGAGAAACAGGGACAGGGTTAACAACAAAACGACTTCCTAAGAAACAACCAGTTTTGTTGTTTGGTGTTCTTGAACAGTGGTGTGTAGTTTGGCAGGTGTCCCGCCTTGTTGTCACGCCATCCATCATCCCCTCCACCTCCCAGCCACACAGTCATGTTTTACATTATGTCACTTTAGAAACATTAATATGATACAGATGAAATATGCAAATGCAACGTGTGGTTTGCAGAAACATGCAACTGGGCTGTTTGTTATTTTCTTAGTTGAACATTTATGTTTTTTACATTTCCCTATTTTTGTATAACATGCAATATCCAACTGCCTACAAAGCTGCTGCAGCTAATCACGACTGACAAAAGTAAAATGACGTGTTAACTCAAGAGTCAGATACTGGATGCTATGTTGTGTGTGTTACAGGAGCAGTTTCGATGACCTTATCCGCTCCACTGACACTTGTGCTCACAACACACCTCCTCGTTCCCTCACAGCCACCAATCACATCCTTTTGTTGGCCTGAGGATGAGGAGGGTTTGAAGATGAAGACGTCTATTTATCAGCTCAACACATCCTACTCAAACAGCGATGACATTCAGCTCTGCCACAATCAACCTTCTGATTCATCCTCTCTCTGGTTAGGGTTTGTAGCAGCCTGCAGCATCAGGGAGTATCAGAGTTCTTCTGCTCGCGGTCTGAGGTGGAGATGCTTCGCTCGCAGGTCCTTCTCGTGGCTTTGTTGTCCTCTGTGCTGCTGGGGCAGGTCAGCGGCGCTCCACGCAGAGACATGCTGACCCTGAGAGCAGACCTCTCCAGCGACAAGGTGAGTGACGAAGATTTAAATGGCTGGAAGTCAGGAGTCAACAGCTTTCACGGGGAACAGCTTTAAATATGCACTTCCTTTTTCTTTCCCTTCCTCCTTCAGGATCTCGCCAACCTGCTCCTGCTGAAGTTTGTGTCTGAGCTGGTGGCAGCGAGAGGAGATGAGATGCCGCCCGGGCTGGGGGAAGAGGAGGAGGAGGAGGTGGGAGTCAGGGAGGAGGTGATGCGGCGGCATCTCCCCCTCTCCCAAAGAGAGCGCAAGGCAGGCTGCCGCAACTTCTTCTGGAAGACGTTCACCTCGTGTTAACGCAAGAAACAAAGCTGCTCAAGCCGAAGCACCTTTGTTTTTAAACGTACTTTTTACGGATCAATGAATCTGCATTTGCTCGCTTTGTTGTAACTGGATCATTTACGGCAAGATGCCACGTATACTGGTGTTTTGGCAGCTGTGATAGGTTGTATATTTTGGGGTTAGCAAGGATGCACAGTGTCTAAAATAACCTGATTCAGCTTTTTTTGTCCTGTTGCAAGCAGCAATTTAGTTATCACAAGTGGAAATTACATTTTGACATATTTAAATGTTAATTTAGGATATCTGTAAAACCATTTTGAGGTTATTTATTATCATTATATGTGTTTTCATGTGTAGAAATTACATTTCAACTAGTCAAAACTGCTACACAGATATCAGCCCTTTTCACTAGTAAGAACGACAAATACAGATTTAATTTTCACACGTTGAAAAAGGATTAATTACTAATTAGATTCAACACATTCTCACTCCGATCTCGTCATATATCGATGTTTGGTCATGGACTTTCCACATCCACATATGACGTGCAAGGTACCCTGGGTGTGTTGGTTGTTGACGTTCTGGGACGCCGTGTCATGTTCTGCCTGTTACATGCATTGTCTTCTTTCAGAATACACTTCTGTTTTCACAGGACATTTAAAGTTTACATATAGTTTCTTTCAAAATAAAAGCACCACGTCGGTACGACAATGCGTTTTTTTTTCTCCAACAATTATCACGTGGTTGGGTTTAGGAAAAAAGGGTTTGGCTTTATAATCTTGCAGGACATGAACATCGCTCTCCCAATTGAAAGTCTGTGTTTGTTGGACCCATAAACCACGCCTCCCCGCCGCCCTACACGAACTTTCGGCGCCTTAACTTTCGTTCTTGTCCCGTGCCGTTAAACTATAGGCTAACAACGACTGACCGTGCAACATGCTGACATTGAAGGACAGCTTTTTTCGTCAGTGTCTGACGCTGCCAGTCATTGCCAAAGCGCCACATTTCGACCAGGTTCATACCACAGATTTTAACGCAAGCCAAAATGACATCATCAGGGTTATTTTCAAATTTCAGGGCATATGTCCACTAGGGCTGCAACTACCGATTATTTTCATTGTCAACTAATCTGTCGATTATTTCTTCGATTAGTCGACTAATCATTTTATCGAAAAATGTGTTAAAATGTTGAAGAATGTCGGTCTGTCTCTCCCAAACCCTAAAATGATGTCATCTAATGTCTTGTTTCGTACTCACACCAAAAGGATTTAGTTCACCGTCATGGGAGAGTGTGTAAAGCTGCCAATATCTGAATGTAACAAGCTGCATTGAGAGTATTTTGGGGTACTTTTACAGTACTTTTCTATGAAAAATGACTCAAACCGATTAGTCAACTACTAAAATAGTCACCGATTATTTTAATAGTCGATTAGCCATCGATTAGTTGACCAATCGTTGCAGCCCTTATGTCCACATGGCATTTTTCCAAATGCCAAAACACACTTCGCTTCATGATGCGCTGCACATTGGTTTTGTTTCTATGTCACTATCTTGACATTAACATTAGCTATGTCGCTAACATAATGCTACACTAACAGAGGGTTAACTGTTGTGATAGTTTTTGACTGACGCATCATACAGCACGGGAACCACGACATCAACGCCTTTCTGAAAAGTTCACAGATTTTTGACTACAAGCATTTGACACTTTTATTAAAGACGCCTGAGCAGCCTTTTGTCCAGCACCCAACAGCGTATGTTCTCACCACATTGGGGAAAAAATGACGCTAGCACTCAGAATGTGCGGACATGTGGACACTCAAGCACAAGCTGAAGGATATTCTCTGGTTCCTACTAAAGAATCGAGACGACACGAAACCAAACTGCTTTAGAACATTACAGAGAAAAGTTGCAGCGGTGTGAACTGGCCGGTCTGCTGCTTGTTTTGTTTCTGTTTTTCACTGTTTCATCACTACTACAGATGCAACTGTAGCCAGTATCTCACTATCACTATCCTCATTCATGTTTTACAAAGCGACAAATTAAATTCAGCCACAAAATAAGTCTGAAAAGCTGCAAATCAGAATGGAAGTACAGAGAGTTGTTGCATAGTGATGATACACCATCTCATCTAGTTGCATTGGTGTGAACTGGCAGGTTTTCAGAACGTTGCAGAACAGCGTGCGTACCCCTTTAAGTTTTGAACATTTGAGAGAAATGTTTCAGTAAGATGTTTGTTTGTCTTCTTTAATTTGTTTATTTTGTGCATAATGTTTGTTGGCGTGCCTTTACATGGATGAAATTATACGTCTTATTGGATTTCATCACATTTCTGTTGTGCTGAGCAAAGTTTTCAAGATGTCTGCTGAAAAGAGAGAAAGAGAGAGACAAAATAAACCTTCCAAAGTCATCTGATGTGTGGCTGTTAGTTCATTGGACCTGTGTAGCTACAGTGACATTGACTGTGTTAAAAAACGACGCACAAACCGACTGACTTGTTGACATTTTAATAATCAATTGTGTTACTACAACCTGTATTAGGCAAAAATCCACCCAAGTTGTTCACATGCTCTCCTGTTAATGTAGCTACCTCGGTACAAAATGGCCTCCTTCTTCTTCTTCGTCTCAGTGTGAGTTCATCAGCGGACAGAGGTCTGCTGCAGTACCACGGGCTCTCATCTACAAGCTCCAGTTCACAGCATTTCAAACTGAACACACACAGTGAGGATGATCGACGCACGACTCAGTAACAAAAACTATGTGATTGGAGGAGTATGACACACGAGTTGGCATGGGTGAGGATTTTAAAATGACACATCTGAGCATGAATGAAATGATAATGTTGGTGATAAGAAGCAGATGAATACTACAGAGGAGTATCAGGGCCAGGCGTGAGAGGAAGAAGATGACAGAACATTTTCTCTCTGTAGTGCACGCAGGTGTAACATTAAATAACGTCCATTTGTCCATTACCAGCTGTTTCAGTTTGCACAAATGCAACCAATTCTTGAAGGTGTCTGGTTTCTACACCGGGCATTTTGTAAAGGCAGCCTTATGCACTGGTAGTTTGATTTATTCTCAAGAGTTTGACTTTAGTCTTGAGAGTTTGTTCTCTGCGTTTAGACTTTATTCTCAACGTTTAAACTTAATTGTCAACATTTAAACTTTATTCTCAACATTTAAACTTTATTCTCGTCATTTAGACTTCACTCTTGACGTTTAGAATTTATTCTCAATGTTAAGACTTTATTCTTGACATTTAGACTTTATTCTCCACATTTAGATTTTATTCGCGACATTTAGACTATATTCTTGACATTTAGACTTAATTCTCCACATTTAGATTTTATTCGCAACATTTCGACATTTTATTCTCGTCGTTTAGACTTTATTTTCGTCATTTAGACTTTATTCTTGACATTTAGACTTTATTCTCCACATTTAGATTTTATTCGCGACATTTAGACTATATTCTTGACATTTAGACTTAATTCTCCATTTAGATTTTATTCGCAACATTTCGACATTTTATTCTCGTCGTTCAGACTTTACTCTTGACATTTAGACTTTATTCTCGTCATTTAAACTTTATTCAAGACATTTTGATTTTATTCTCATCATTTAAACTTAATTCTCAACACTTTGATTTTATTCTCGAATTGATATTTCAACTTTTTTTAAATTATTTTTATTTTCTTATTTCGACTTTACCCTAAAAACGATTTTCCAACTTTTTTCTAGACCATTCGACTTTATTCTCGTCATTTAAGCTTTATTCTAGAATTGATATTTTACTCTAGACATTTAAACTTTATTTTCAACGCTTTGACTTTATTCTCGAACTGATATTCCAGGTTTACTCACAATACTTCGACTATAATTCTTAACATTTTGACTTTAGTATTAAAATGCAAAAAAAAAAATCTTTCTTCCGTTATATAAATATTCTTATGCCTGACTTTGACAGACAAGTGGTGGCTTTTTGCCCGACTTATGCCTGTACTGAAAGTTCTACATTATTTTCAACATTATTATTCTTGACATTTTTATTTTTTTTTTTTTTTTTGAAACTCCTGAATCTTCTTCCTGATTTTTATTCCCTTATGCCTGGCACAAAGACTTAATATTTGACATTATTTCTCAACATTATTCTCAACATTTCAACTTTATTCTAGAATGCAAAATTTTAAAAGAATCTCCGCCCTCTCAATTTTCCTCTTATGCCTGACCCCAATAGTCTTCCAAAGACCGCAGTATATACATCATATTTGTCATGAGATAAATTAACAAGAGATGAAATATGCAACTCTGAACCGTTATCGCATGATCCGAACGAAAAAAAAAAGCAGAATTCACAGACAATTGCAGTTTCAAAAGAGGATTATTATGAAACTGAATGACATCCTTGAGATAAGGCTTTCAAATTTCTAGCCCTTTAAAGTTACACAAATACAAAAATCAGGACGGAAAGACAGAGGTTAAACACAATCATAACAATACTGTAACTCCAAAGCGTTAACTCGGCCCACGTGAGTGCAAGAATGAACTAAAACCAAATCCGCAAGTGAAGAGTTGTGTTCCAACATCACAAGGGAAAAATACATCAAAATGAGTTCCAAGTATTTGTATTTAAATTGAGTCTAATTCTAATTTCATTCTTTCCTCTAAATGTATGTTAACGTACAAACTCTTCACATGAGGCTCAAACTTCACACCAGAATGTTTTCAAGCCACGTCAGTGACCAACACCCTGTTTTCCTTTGACTTCATTGCACCATCATCTTCAATTTAACAGTCAAGTATCAACCAACGACACGTTAAACAAACAAAAGCAAGATTGTGTTTCGTACAGACATTCAAAAATGTTATTCTGGATGATTTAAAAAAAAATGGCAGCAATCCTGTTATGAGCTTTGATTTAATAACTAAACAACATGATACTGTGATGTGTTTGACATGTAGGAGAGATTTGTTCTAGCAAATATTATACTAGCATTTAATGAAGACTAAAAGGAAAATAAAATAACGTCTGGGGTGTAACTACACATTCCTGTGGTCTACATTTCTCCTGCTATGAGGCTATGTCTCTGCAAAGGTTCACTGCACTAAAGGCTACATGCTTTCCCAAACAGTTGGCAACAGTTTCGTTGTCAGACCAAACCAGCCTGGTATGTACAGTCACAGTTGTTGCATTATGTGCTTTTAATATGCTTGTTCTGAGGCAGTTCTGCACTTTGACGTTTAGTGTTTTACAAATGTACAGGTCCCATCGTTTAGACGGGTTTAGACAAGTCTAATTAATATTTAGGCTGCTTCTCTGCAGAGTCTAAATCTATGACATCCTTCCATACTTGTTCAGCCCCAAAATGACCATGTGTAGATCAATTTGTCACCCTGTGTTGAGTTGGATTTGTATAGAAACTTCATTTTTCTCACATACCTACATGGTGAACAAAGAATCCAAAAACTCATGCATTGAGTAACATCACAAGTTAACGTTCCACCTTAAAAGTCGCCAGCAGTCGGCCCAGTGAATTATTTTTCATAGACTCCAGCTGCTGTGAGAGGCAGCAAAACATCCTTTCATTTTATAGTTACAGTTTACTAATAAAACTCTCCACAGTATGAATAGTGGTTACATGAGCCTCAAAACCAGCCACAACTCAGCCCTGAGCAGAGTGACCGTCCTCTACTGACCAATCAGACTGCAGTGTTCACAGCTCCACCTTTTAGTACCAGATCTGTGTGCTAGGTACCCCAACAGAGGGGGGACCGAACATGGGGACAGTAAGGAACGGTTCCATTGATACCATCCACAACTTTTCACAGTGGGAATGGAGCAAAAGCGTACCCAACTGAACCGTACTGCTCGGAGGAAACTGTAAAATTACTGTTTTTGTCAGTGGAGTCTGGCTTTGAAGAGAGCATAGATAAGTTTTACTTATCTCTCTCCTGTTAAAAAGGGCTGTCTGTTTGGGAAGCATTGAGCGTACAACTGGATAACTGAAACTTGGATTATTCTGCACGAGTTGTGTGAGAGTTTGTGAACAGATTTTATGATATAGCTTTTCTCAGTCTCATAAATTTTTGTTAGCTTTCTTCAAGAATCCAGCGTAACACAGGACGAAAAACTGATGTAAAGATGATCATTTGGGGGGTGAAGTATTCCTTTAATTGTCTTTGACAGTGATGATAATGTGTGAGCTAATAGTTGAGCCGTACCGATACGTGGTGAGTGGAGCCCAAGCTGCCTGCAGGTCAGGCCACTGTCATACTAACAAGGAACTAAAGGTGACAAATGGGGGAGCTGTGTACCAAAACAAAGAAAGAAAATGGAGCAGGAAATCTGAATGAAAGGAAGCTAGTGATGTGGTTGCTCCATCAGGACCCCACGTCCCATCTCTGCAAATGAACTTATACCTGGATACCACCAGAGGGAACTGTTGCAATAGTTATGTCAACTCAAAGTCAGAGCAACCAAGAAAAAGAAAAGCACCTCTGAGCAGGCATTTCCTGTCTGCGCCATCAATCATGTGTAATGTTGGCTGTCATGAGACGAAGAGGGCTGAAAGGGTGGAGCGGACGCTGGAGGTTTGTTAGCAGTCAGTGGAGATTTTGGCCGAGAGGTCCTGGATGCGGCGAGCGCTGCAGCTCTTACATAAGATGTGGCCGTCCAGCGGGTAACAGCCTCGACCCTCCCCTTCAGAGGACAGCAGGAGGCCACATTCCTGATGAACACAGTCAGTTCAAATCAACACACTGCCACGGACTCAACCCATGAACACATGTCACATGCAACATATCCAGCAAATCTGGGGCACTCTCTAAACAACAACTCCTACATTTCATAGGCAGGTTTAGGATTCTTGCACCTGGTGCATAAATAAGTCTTATTAACTTTTAGTACAATTGTGTAAAAGTCAAAGCTGCAATAATGAAGATGTGACTCCTGTGACTTCCGATAGTCTATGTACACTGTTCAGACTGGGCAGCTATCTCTTTCACAACGCAAGTCTCCCTTTGTATCAGTCTGTGCCCCCTGTCTAAATTCAGAGGTTTCCACAGGTCAGTGAACGCAGCACAGACGAAACCCTTCCTCTTTTCATCATCAGCAGTGTGGAGCTTTGAATCACAGGGTGGATCTGATCAGATCAGATCGATGGATGAGAGCAGTTTGTGAGTGAGAGCAAACTTTTCGATCCAGCGCAATGAAGGGTTAAGTTTCACTTGACGTTCTGCTGCTCCGGCTGTGCCCAGAGTACACTCTGCGCTGCAAGAGTGCTAATAACTGGTATAAATATTCCAACAGCACTCCTAATGAACGGTCCAGCTCGAGAAATAGAAAATCAAAATGTGGCTGTAGACGTTTTAATCGTGGCAGGCCGCCACAAATAAACAAATGTGTGGGAAATCCCGTCACAGGAAAGTCTTTTTTGGGCCCCGTGGCATCACGTGACGGACCCAGAAGATGTAATTCTATGGTTTAGCCACTGTGTCAAATTTGCTTTGAAGCACCACACTGTTCCAGGACGCTTTGGGTTTACACAAAGCAGCAAGAAGAGGCAAGAGAGGCTGAGCCGCCATTTTTTTCCGATAATGATAACACTTGTGGGCACCTGGAAAATTGTTCCGTATATAGATTCAATTTTTTCAAATTTTTGTACAACAAATGAAAGAAATTTAATTTGTTTTTACTTTTTGTTATGATTTATGGCATTTTAACTGCGTTATCCTGCACCAAAGACATTTTTGATTTCTCCCTTCTTCTAGCAGTGATTGTGCCGTTTCCAAACAGGTGCAGGACGTTTATATTGCAGTGAAAAACAAGGCCACAAGGATTCAAATGCGACGAGAGCAAGAAATGCCAATCTTTCATTCTTCAATGAAAACTTCTCTCAAACCTATCAAATACAATGTTTAGAGCTGGTCGTGATGTTTCTGGTACTCTGTGCTATAAAATCTTGCCCAGTTGACTCACCTCGCAGACGTAACAGTTAACATGAAAGCTGCGGTCCAGAGCTACGATCCTCACCGTCTCCTCCTGGCCCTGTTCAGGCATGATGGGCTCTCCGCAAACTGAGCAACGAGGAGCATACTTCCTGTCGGGGGAAAACAAACATCAACATTTACAGTTTGTGAGCATGTCTGTCACTTCTAGTTCAAACAGAAAACCAAGCACAGCGTCACAGTGCCGGAACGCCGTCGTACCTATGGAAGTCATCTATGCAGTGTATCTGAGAGGTTGCGTCCACGGTGAAGGGGACCCCGTCCAAGCAGCAGTTGCAAACCACACACGTGAAACAGCGAGGGTGGTACGCCTTTCCCATGGCCCGCAGGATACGGTCCAGGATGGGCTTGGAGCACTTTGAACAGCGCTCTAATGTACTCTGACAAGAAGAGCAGAGACAGGTGTGTGGATCAGAGGATGAGTGACAGAGCAGCACTGCAACAGAACATAGGATCAACCAGGAAATACAGACATATAAATCCCATCGGAAAGGCAAGGTAAAGTGGTGAAAATATTCTAAATATAGCGTACACTGAACCGATATTATCTGTTTTGCTGCTCCCGCTGTCCACAGCAGTACATTGCTTAGCCTCTGTGTCAGTACACCTGTCTGCTTCTCCAAACTGGAGGCGTGCTGACTGACATCTACTGAAGGTAATACACTGACTATGGATAAGTATCTCACACAACTGTACCTCAAACACTCTGATCCCTTTGAGGATGCTTTAAGTGGATAAAAGGTTGACACATATTGGAGTAAAACCAGTAACGGGCCACCGTAGGGGCCAAAAATGTGACCTTTGCCTTCACTTACAATGTAACAACTCTCACAGTAACTCTTCTTGTCGAGGGCGTAGAACGGTTGCCCCCGGAGACGGGCGTGGCAGGTGATACACGTGAAACACTCCACATGGAACACCTGCTCCATGGCGATGCAGCCGCTGCCATCGCCGACCACGTTGTCACCACACCGGGCACAGCGGCCTGAAAGTCAGAGTATTGTCTATTTGAGTTTTCTTTTTTGTTTTAAATACCAGAATGCACATTTTTGCGGTGTCATAAGTCGTTAATGTGATGAGTAGCGACTGTACCAAAATAGTCCTCAGCGGGGGGGTGGTTCATATCATATACCAACTTCTTGGTTAGTCGTTCCAGCTCTTCCTCGGGCCTGCTTGTTGCTATGCTCTGCTGGAAGAAGACATGATACATGAATCACATATGTAACAGGAAAACCAAAAGAGACCAGAGATCAACCATCAAGTTTTCAAAAAATGTATCAGGTTTAGGTTCGTACAGGCTCTAGTGTCTAAACATGTCAATCGATAACCAGCCATTACAACTGTATATTTGTGTATGTGCGTTTCCTTCACATTTAAAGGAATACTTCACCCTCCAAATGACCATTTGTATATTGATTGCTCACCCGACATTACGTTAAATTCATGAGGAAAGGATTGTTTTTCTCACATGTCTCCACGGCAAACGAAATGCAGAAAATTCTTGATGAATTCAACTCATAGGGGTCCACATTTAACAACAGCAAAACTATATCAAAACATCCCTTCACAAAGTCATGCAGTATAATGAAGGGTGCTTTCAGACCTAGAGTTGTTGGTTCGTGTTCTCACGGCAGCATTTACAAGCGGACCAGATCAAATGCCTTGTGCGAGAAAGCTGCTCTTGATTTGTCAGAAAAATCCAGGAAGTAAAGCAAACGTTGAAGAAGAGTACACTTGCAAGATAAATATGACACTTTCTAATGTCACAATGGAAGGACAACTACGCAGGTTGATTTTAGCGCTGCTCATCGTGGACTATATTGCTGTCATTGTTCATTTTAGTCAAACCATACAGTTTGAAAACGAGGCACGGCTCCAACTAGAAAACAATGTTTTGATGCATTGGATGTGCTGAATGTGCATATTAAGGCAGTTCAGGAGGAGGTGCACATTAATAATCCTCCAGGACTGTAACATGCTCATGTTTAACCCAAACAATGTGTCATGTGACTGCAGTTGGTTCAGATCCAGGTCGGAACACGTTCTCACCACAAACGAACCGCACCAGAGTTCGTTTGTAACTAGACCGAGACCACCTCTTCAAGAAGGTCTCAGTCCGGTTGCTGTGTTCACACCTGCCCAAACGAACCACACTTAGGGGGCAAACGAACTTGAGTTTGATTGAACTGAACCAAACAGTCAAGTCCGACAAGTCTAATATATTCAGCACTGTTAATTTAAGGCATTTCCAGACTTTTTAGACACCCTGGAACTTGTTGTGGTGGAACATTGACACACAGGGAGGCGAACATTGTTAATAAAATCATCCCACCAAAGAATATGCCACAAAAAACATTAAGAGTCTTTGAAGTCACTATGTAACTTAAGACGATGTAGATTTGGATCGTGCAATAAGGCGTGCTGGCTTTGTTTTTTTGCCTTTAAACACAGACTCCTCTGACTTTAACTCTTCAAAATTTTTATGTTTTTGGATTCTTCGTTCACCGACAGTTTCCCTCACGCATTCAGCTTTAACACGGGTTGAGTAACTGATATACAAACAGTAATTTGTGAGGTGAAGTATTCCTTTAATTTTCAAACTTAGAGATGTAGATATGCGTCCATACCTTGCTGGACTGGTAAGCAGGACTCTGTGCAGCTCCTGACCCCGTCTGATTATTTTCCATCCCTCTCTTGGACAGTGGAACCTGGTTGACTCTTCCTCCAGGTCCTGAGCTGCTCCCTTTGTACACCGCCTCAGAGTGCATCTCCTGAGCTTGTGAGTTGGGATGTGGAGGGTACCAGCCCTGTTGACTTGTCTGACTCTGGGGAGGGGGGCGTGAAACGTGCTGGCGAGGAGGGGGTGGTGTGTACGCCTGCTCAGCCTGCCTCCCCGTCTGAGAGTAGGTGACAGGCTGCGCCGTCTTGACCTGGACGCTGAACCTGGGCCCGGTGGGAGTTGAGGCAGTGGTGTAGGAGGCCGGGACGGGCTGAGGGTAGGGCTTAGGTGTTGAAGTGGAGTAGTAGTCCTGCTGGTGGGAGGTGGAGTACTGAGATGACTGGTGCTCGTTGGGGTAGGGCGGCGCTGGGTGGTATTGGCTCTGGGGATGAGGGGGGTAGCCCATGGATGGCCGACCCTGAGGAGGGGGTGCGCTCTGGTGCGCAGGTTTGTAGTGATCCCCTGAGAGGTACTTGTTATAAGGCACGTTGTCGTACAGCTGCGGGGAGTGCGAAAATTAGCAAAACTGCACATGCAATTTCTCAAGAAAACATTTAATTTCAGTAAAGTGTATGGTCCTACTTGTGTGCTGGAGTCCTGTGGGTGGCTGTCCAAGTCAGCAAGCATGCTGGTGAGGGAGTCAATCTCAGCATCGATTTTGGAGTGATAGCTCGCTGGCTTTTCAGGACCACGATGCTGACAACACAGCAGCATGAGGAGCATGTTAACACAAACATGAGGACTGAGTATTTAAACAAAACATCACAACAGCTCAAGATGCTTTTTATTTTCTATCAGTAAAGCTCCAGTAAGTAGCACCAACCATCAGCTCGTAGCTGTCCATGTGAGGGCTCCAGTTGCGTTCTTCTTTGGGACCAGGGGGAGGGGAGTAGTAATGATCGCTCGACGAGTGATGAATGGGTCCACCTTTAGGCAAGAGAACAGATATCAAACTAGAGTTACCGCCTCACAGTTTACATCCATGCCTGTCCAGACTCATGAGCAGCCATGACAGTAGACGATGCTTCTTCCCCCGGCAGCACAGAGGATCTGTACAGTCACCACAGTTTTAAGATGAACACCCAAAATTAGTGTTACCAACTCAGTCTCTGACCAAATGTCTCCCCTTCTGTTCCTGAGATATGACGTTGAGTAAGACCTTAGACCTTTTGGATATAAAATTACATCACTTTCCTATCAAATCCAATGAAACATTTGTGTCAAATTTTGTCAAAATTAGCACATGAATCCTTGAGTTATGGCCAAAAACATGTTCATGAGGTCACAGTAACGTTGACCTTTTACCTTTCACCAACATCTAGTTCAATAGTTGAACTCAAATGTCCACAATTACAGACTCTCACACTTTGCAGGCGTGTTTCCAGTAAGTCTGAGAGCGCTTAGGGCTGTCCAAATCCACAATTCCTGTCCACAACAGGCCTAAAGCGGACTTTCCACAGACTTCAAGCGAGTATGCTTGGGACTTCAGCAGTCTCGTCGCAGTCAGAGCCCTAATTTACGTCTCAGGTTACAGTACGTACGACTTAAGACCGCAAGACCTCAGTTTGCAAGTCCAGAGGGTGGACGTTTGGATTCAGCCGATCAGTTCATTCTTGAATCAAAATGGACGTTTGTGCCAAATTTGAGGAAATCCCTCAAGGCGTTCTTGAAGTATCACCTTTACAAGAATGGGACGGATGGACGACCCAAAAACAAAATGCCTCCAGCCATTACTATCTAAGAAAGCTTCACTTAAGGGTTATGATCTATATGTAGGTTGGATATACCGAGAGCTTAAAAATAAGGGGACAAATCATGAGAACACTTAAATACTAGGACTGCCCCCCAAATTTTCCTAGTTGACCAACAGTCGTCATTTAGGACCATTAGTTGACTAGTCGCCTGCATGTTTACGATATTAATTTAATTATTAAATTATATATTTTGGTGGTTTGAGTTGAAGGTGTGAGAAAGAATAGTATCAGTAACATTGTTAACACTGTGCTACATTACAGAGAAATACAAAACCGTACTAATAAACCTTCATTAATATAGGCCTATATTTTATCTACAAGTGCACAAGTCCGCCATCCCTGACTCCAGTAGGTCTTCTTACCTGTGGGTCCTGTAGCCATGTACCTGTTGGCCATCCCTCCTCCTCCTCCTCCGTTCTGGTCATAGGGGCCATATTTTGGCCGGAAGTCGGACGCCCCCTTCTTGTTGGGGGCTCTGTAGATCGCTGACCCAGCAGAGTGAGACATCTGAGGGACTGCTCGCTCAGGGCTATCCAGAGTCCTCGGTGGAAGCCAGGTGGGACCGGACATGGCAGGCTTCTGAGATCAAAGAAGGAAAAAGACAACGTTTGTGTCATGTTGTTTTATCGATTAATTTTTTAGTGCTATGATTTATTTTGGCGCCCTGAATGCAAATCAGTGCCACACAATACAGCTTTGCCCAACAGTGGGTATGCATGATTTTCAGCGTTCCTCCTTGATTTTCATGAGCACAGCTGTGGCTGCTGTGTGTGTTTATGCCATATGTAACCAATGGAAACTAAGGGATGCTTCACACTTTGTTTCCTATGGCAACGCGGGGACACACAGACCGAACAATAGGCTTCTAGTTGAGGAGCAGGAAGAGAGCGGCCATTCTGTAAGGCTGGGGGATTTCCAGCACAGTCGCGCACACATTGCCCTAAAGCGTGCGCCAGACAAACACTCGATGCAAAAAGCTCTCCAGTGCACAAACTCGTACACAAGAAACACAAACAGGTGCAAAACTGTTTTCCCCCCACAATGGTTATTGTCTCTGGGTGTTTACACACTGGTATCATTTATTTCCAAACGATGCGGGGACAAAAACAGGGCAGGAAATGTTGTGTAATGATATGTGTCTGTATACACGTGAACACCTGGCTCATAACAATATATTATGTATTCTCTGCAGGATAAATAACAACACCGCCGCTCACAGCTGAGGCGACAAAGTGCTGACTTGCACCTGACGGCCTTCATTAAAGGGACTGTTCCGATTTTTTGAAGTGCATTTGTATGGGGTACTTATCCATGGAAAGTATATTACATACAGTAGATAGTTTGGAAAACCAGGCTCACCAAGCTAGGTAATGTACTGCTGTGGACAAGGGCAGCAACAAAACATATTTTAGCCACCTAAAAAAATGAATATCAGTTGAAGTGTACGCTATATTTATAATATTTAATCAGCTGGTTTTGTTTATATTATTGTGTGACTCTGGTGTTTAACAGGGATAATTTGGAAACACCAAAGTCACACAATAACAGACACAAACTAACTGATGGAGGCGGCAGAGGACCAGCAGCTCCTGTGTTCAGTGAGGTAAAATTACTGGTTTTATCAATGGAGACTGGTGGCTCTAAGGCCTAGTCCACACGGACGTGTGTACTTCTGAAACTGAAGTTTTTCGGGCTCCGGTTTCCAAAAAAAATTTGTCCACCGCAAAACCTGCTACCAAGTGATGTAATACACATGCCAAAGCAGTAGGTGGCAATGTAGCTTCTAACGGAAAGGCCATTTTAACTAATCAGAAGTCAGAGTCAATACCGGAATAGGGAAGTGCGGAAAATAAAAACAACCTGATCCACAAAGGAGGCTGCTCCTGTTGCTAGCTACCCCAACAACACTACCACGAAAGCAGCAACAGGCCTGCCAACGGAGGTTCTGGATCCGGCCGGGTCGGACCTCAGACTGGTTCTCGAAACTTTCCCACCAGTGTGAGGTCTGACCCGGCCGGATCGAGAACCTCCATTGGCAGGCCCATCACTGCTTTCGTGGTAGTGTAGCTAGGGTAGCTAGCAACAGGAGCAGCCTCCTTCGTTGGTCGTTAGGTCGAGCAGCTGGATATGCCATCCAAAGAGAGCAGATAGCTCGCTCACAAATAAAGTTAGCACCAGCATGTTTGTTTGGTCTGCCATTTCACTAGCTATTTACCGTCGCTCTGACGTCAAACATTGGAGACAGGTAATAAAATACTGTGGTTATCCTATCCACACGCAACCGCTGGCACTGGAGTCTTCCAAAAACTTCACCGGAAGACTCCAGTTTCAAAGAAAACGCGGTTTCGGGGGTCCAAAAGTGTGGTTGCGTGTGGCCAAACAGCCAAATCACATAGAATAATACATGGTTTCAGAAGTACAAGGGTCCGTGTGGACTAGACCTAAGAGAGTGATATAAAAGCTTCAGTTCCTCATCAAACGGGCTGTATCATCATGTACACTTAAACTGATATTGACTTTTTTAGGTGGCTAAAATGTTTTGTTGTTGCCCCCGTCCGCAGGAGTCTCCAGTCCACTTCTCCAAACTGGGGGCGTGCCAAATGACACCTACTGTATGTAATACACTGACTATGGATTAGTACATCATACAACCAAAAAAAAAAATCTGAACTATCCCCGAATTACTTTGATACACTTAACAGAACTTTATAGAAAGCATCACAGATTACCTAACAGGGAAAACAAGATGCTTAAAGGCATAGTTGGGATCTTTGAAAGTGGGGTTGTATTATCGATGACCTGCCTACAGTAGATGGCACCTCGCGCACCCCAGTTTGGAGAAGCAGGCAGGAGTACTGCCACAGAAGCTGAGCAGTGTACTGCTGTGGACAGGGGCAGCAGCAAAACATATTTTAACCACTTGAAAAAAGTCCCACCTACAAAAGATTATACTGCTCTCTTGAGCACCAGACTCCATTTAGAAAAAGAGTAATTTAAGCTCTCTGTACACAGGAGCTACCGGTGTGCTGTCGCTTTGATCAAGTAGCTTATTTGTGTTATTATGCAACTCTGGTTAATCAGACCTCACCACATTAAACACCAAAGTCACACAATAACACCAACAAACTCACTAACTGAGGCAGCGGTAGACCAGCAGCTCCGGTGTTCATCAATGTTAAATCACTGTTTTTCTTAATGGAGTCTGGATTTGAAGAGAGCGATAAGGCAGCTTCAGTTCCCCATGAGAAATCGCTGTTTGACAGCAAGGTAAAGCGGTGACAATATTCTAAATGTAGTGTGTACTTAGACCGATACTTGTTTTTCTAGGTGGCTGAAATGCGTTTCCCTGCTGCCCCTGTCTACAGCAGTACATTGCTTTGCTTCCATGGTGGTACTTTTTGTTGCTCTCCAAATGAGTAAGAGCAGATTAGTCACTTTAATGACGATGAATGCATGACTTTGAACACTTTTTATGGGAAAACAAGCAAACAAACAGTCTAACAATACAAAGAACTGCACACATTGTCTGTATTTTATATGTTTAACACTATTTGGGTTTGGACTGAGTGACTTTGGTAACTATATTTTCCATCTTATAGAGCATTAAATTATTAAAAGATGATGGTTGAATCCATGCACGAAGGAAGCAAGTGTGCATGTCATGTCATATCCTTTTTTGGAAAGACACTGTGTGACTGACACAACGCCTAAATGGACTGCAAGCGCAAGGACAAGCCAAAACAAATGGGTATTGTCAGAGGGGAGAAATTAACAGCCCACTCAGACTGATTGTATGCGGGTCGTGTGGCCGTCACAAATCCTTGTTGCTAAGAGGATTACAGTGATGGATGAGAAGATGATGTGGACACACAGAAATAAACAGCATCTAAGCCTTGTGGTTTGTTTTTGACTCTTATTTTTTGTATTCCTTCTACCCACAAGGTTGTTACAGTCACCATTAAACCATGCAGCATCAGCACGGACTCACACTGAGACCACGTGGAGGAAAAAGTGACCACAAACCTCCACAACCGACCTGATTTAAGCCTCTGAATCCGGATGAGCACACACACTCAAATCCGAGGACGGCTGCGCCAGGAAATTAATCTCAACGGGTTTTATCACTCTGTGTGTGTGTGTGTGTGTTAAAGCCAATTGTGAGTTTATATGTGATTTAAAAGCATTTGTGTCCATCTTTCATGTCAGCTGGACCTCTTGCTGGACGCACAGGAGGCGTAGCAGCTCGTGAAATGTCAAAGTTGATGACAAGAGTGAAGCTAGCGGGAATGGGTACAAGCAACATCCGGTGGTTTTACATTTCAAAATAATAGTTTGGCGTTCCAGAATCACGGAAAACTACTTAAAAATAAAGGCAGTGCGGCTAAAATAACTGCTAGCTGATTCAGTTTAACTCGTGTTATCATATTTTGCTGCTACATTCGGTTAAATAGCGTTATTTTGTTATTCTACAGCAATAACTGAAATTACACGGTTTTATTTTGAAGGCAAATGCCCTGCTAGCTTAACATTTTCTGACACAATGGAGCTTTAATGTAGCCAAACATGCTAGTTACACGGCACAAATAACAGGAAGACAACATCACTTAACTCAATAAGGAAATAGGATAACAACTATATCCGCAAACATGATGTGTAATCAGCGTTAGCGGTTCCTACCTCTTACAGTACCTTTACAGTGGCTCTCCTCTTCCCTTCAGTCTCATCTACAAAGCAGGGACAAAATAAAATTGGTCAAACACATCAGACACGTCGCATTAAAAACACATTAGCGACATTTTTCTTGCTTTTAACGGCACCGTTAGTCCCGCTGAGCGACATTAACGTCTCCTACAAATGAATAAAGAGACTAACGGCTGAGCTGCTCGTCCAAATCTGTCCTTTGTGCGTCACATGAGTGTAAAACATACTACTTAAGTAATATAACAAGCCACAATGGAGGATAATTAGCGATAATTAACTTTAATAACAGGCTTGTTTACTTGTTTGCTAGCCTGTTTTGAACTCGAGCAGAGCTCGTGCCTTGCCTCCAGGCTAACTTCAACACAACCGAAGAGGAAACAATGAAATAACCGACAACTACCGCCTGAAACCAGCCTCACAAACACAACCTAAGCTTCGGTTTGAATGCTCACAGCTCAGTGAAAGTTACCGCGACACCACTTTCTTTTACATTTAGCGTCGTTAACCTACTTTGTAGCGGATCCTGAGGCCTTTAGCAGCAGCAGCAAGATCCTCACTGCTGCATTCCCGATGTGTGACGTAACTGCTGCTGTTAGACCGTGTGTGTTTGTGTGTGTGTGTGTATAGAGGTGGGGGGTCTGTCACATGAATTTTTTAAAAATAAAAGTACAAAGATCGACCTTATTGCAAGCTGTGATGGAAAAACAGATAGAAAAATCCCAGAATCATAAACGATGGGCAAATTTCTAAACAAAAAAACCTGCGAGAAACGACACAGGTTTTTAGGCTGAAGTACATATGTCAAGGAAAGCTTTATATGTAAATATATGTATGCTACAAGTTTGGAAGCAAGATCAGATTTGTACAAAAAAAAAAATCATAGTTTCATTTGTATACAAAATAAACATTTTTATTATATAATGTCATTTATCAGAATACATTTTTATATCATCCATCCATTTTCATCTGCAAAGCACCCCAGACGTCCCTCTCCCCAGCAACACTTTCCAGCTCCTCCTGGGGGACCCCAAGGCGTGCCCCGGGGCCTCCTACCAGTTGGACTTGCCGGGGACACCTCCAGCAGGAAGCGCCCAGGAGGCATCCTGATCAGATGCCTGAACCACCTCAACTGACCACTTTGACACAAAGGAGCAACGGCTCTACTCCGAGTTCCCTCTGGATGTCCAAGCTCCTCACCCTATTGCTAAAGGCCCATTTATGCTCAATGTTAAATACGGATCCGGATACAGATGGAGCCTTCTGTCCGTGCTCTGTGTTCATTTCGTCCGTATTTCTGCACTTTTCCATAAAGCTTATGGATACGGGCCAAACGGAGCAGTACCACCGGGAACCGTGGGGGCAGTGTTGCTGTCACTACGTAGCTCTAGTGAGACACGAAGAAGAAATAACAATTCAATTTCTCTCATCGGCAGTACTAGAGAAAAGAATTCTCCGTCCTCCAGTGTCTCTGTTTTTGTCTTTTATGCAAGAGGTACATTATCAATATCTCCTCCACAGTCGCCATGTTTGTTTTTGAGTTTGTTGTTGTCATAAACTTTTGACGCTGGGCTGCCCCCTGGTGGATATATTGGTTAACATCCATGCCAACGTAAAGGGCGCATGGACGTATGTGGGCAGTGACGGGAACATCGTTTGAAACGGACATATGAATTTTCGTACGTAAAGGGAGTATAAATGAGCCTTAAGGCTGAGCCAAGCCATCTGACGGAGGAAACTCATTTCCGCCGCTTGTATCCATGATTTCATCCTTTCGGTCACTACCCAGAGTTCATGCCCATAGGTGAGTGTTGGGAGGTGGGCGGACCAGTAAATTGAAAGCTTCACCTTCCGGCTCAGCTCCCTCTTCACCACGATGGACTGGCGCAGTGCCCGCATCACTGCAGAAGCAGTTTTTATTATAATTATCAGGTATTTGGGTTTTTATATATATTACTATACATTCAAACCAGAAGCTTCCAAAGAGGCAGAGTCTCTCGTGGACGCCCAAGAAGCACGACTGTCCAAAATATTTGTGGCAGCTTTGGTTGCTCTAGTCGCTCATCACGTGAATCGTTGAACGTTCGATCGTGCTTGTCAATTTAAAGGAGCCGCAAAGTGGACTACTGGCTTGACAGCAGCGTAGTTGCTGCTTGCTGTTGTCCAGTCAAAAAGCTCACAGAAAGTTATGTTTGGTCAGTGAAAACAGAACACATAATTTTCTCCTCTATTACTAACATTAAACACTTTAAAACTCCACAGACCAACCAACTACCTCCGCGACGCCGTCCCAAGCCTCATTCTTTTTATTATGGTCTCTGTAACTGAACAGCGACGCATTATAAAGGACTGAGTGGGCACGAACGCAAGTAATAAATTTCACGATATCCACTGTCGGAACAACTGCACTGTAGGAACCAAAGTTACATGGCTTGTTCTCTGGGACCCGCTTCATCGAAGCTTGGCAGCATTCCCATTGGTTGCTACTGAACCGCATCAGAGCTCATTACCATAAAGTCAAACAAGTTTCACCTCCCCTCCAGACCCGCTCCGGTCGCTTTGGTTGCCCAAATGACCATGTTGCCCAAGTCGCCCAAGTCTCTCATTGAAAATGAATGACTTCCTCTGTTTTGGTCCATTTGTTTTGGAGAGGAAGAGACCAATGCAGATAATTCGGCACTTGGAAATACACACTTTAAACTGTATTAAGGAACCTTATGTGTAAAGGTATCTCAAGTTTGGATGAGGCACAGAAGTGCCTTGTTGATGCCAGAGGTCAGAGGTCAGAGGAGAATGGCCAGACTGGTTCAAGATGACAGAAAGGCAACAGGAAGTCAAATAACCACTGGGTACAACCAAGGTCTGCAGAAGACCATCTCTGAAGCAACAACACTTTGTCCAACCTTGAAGCAGATGGGCTACAGCAGCAGAAGACCACACCAGGTGCCACTCCTGTCAGCTAACAACAGGAAACTGAGGCTACAGTTCACACAGGCTCACCAAAACTGGACAATAGAAGATTGGAAAAACGTTGCCTGGTCTGATGAGTCTGGATTTCTCAGTCATGGATCCATCCTGCCTTGTATCAATGGTTCAGGCTGCTGCTGGTGGTGTAATGGTGTGGGGGAGATTTTCTTTGCACGCTTTGATTCATATTTAAGGTTATTATATTTTTGGTTCTGCAGGATAAACATTGAGCACACAGTGTTTTCTCCATACATCCAGTTGTTTACCACCCTGCAAGCAGCCGTGAATATGGAGGTCAGAGGGGCTCTCTTTATTATTTTTCGGGTCATAAGATTTGGGTCAACTGTCCCTCTCCTGTTACCCCGCACCCTCCTTCTTCTCCTTCCTCCGACTCCACCCAGCGCCATGTTGGAGGCCCACTGCTTTCTTTAAGGCACTTCTTCAAAGGAAGGTCTTCATAACTGTTTTATTTATTTTTTATTTCCCCGTCTATCTCTGCCAATAAGTGGACAAACAACCGAGGCTGCTCCCTGGGATATCCCCGCTTCCTCCTGCTGCTCCTCCTTCCAGTGGCTCCGTGCTTGTTTGCCCTTATATGTCCACGGCGCGCTGCAATCACAGGAAGAGGCGGTTTAAGCAGATCTGTTATTGTTGCAGAGGCCATCAACATCTTTGGCACCAAGTGGGGGATTTGAAGTCAAAGCATGGCTTCGGCCCATACATTATCAGATAAACAATATAGTTCTGTCCAGGCAACCAGGAAACCACAAAAGAAGGGGAATCCCCGCCTTTGTTCTGTTTGACGAGGAGTGACAGCAGTTAAATAGACGTTGAAATGTTTGTTTTTCATTTGCAGAGAGTTCATCATATTGATGGCGATAGTATCAGCTCTGCATTTCATAAAGAACATGGTCGGGGGGTGGCTGATGGGCACTGACAGACGAGGTAACATGCAGGAAGTCTCTATGAGCTCTGCCAAGCCTTGCCAACCAACGGGATGGACTCAATGGCTTCCGCCTATTGGTGAACCTGTTTAGTAATGTTCTCACTTTTCCTCAACCGCCCCCCTCATCCGTTCTTCTCACAATGCCTGGAAGTAGCCGAGACCTACATCTCCCTCTCTGTTTTCTTAATCGTTGTTTTCCTTTATGGTTTTTCCTTTTTTTTTTTCTTTCACAAAGCACACAATTGATCAGACCTCCATCCAAACAAATAAAAGCACAAGGACACGCGCACAAGCTGCTCGCCCCAAGCAAACGCTTCACTTCCGACTGGTATTTTTCAAAGGGTTTATACCCAAACACGGTCACGTTGCCCATGTTTTATTTCACATTTGACACATTTGCTTCTCATAAAAGTCGTCGAAGGAAAGATATTTTGCAAGTTGCAGTTCTAAATTAAACTAGACCTGTGTCCAAGCACCTAATGCCAAAAAAAGCTTCAGCAAATTCGTTTCACTCTATTGAAGTTGTTCTCTTAGCCCAGTCGACAGAAGAAAGTGTTTGGATTGTACTTTCTGCAAACCACAAATACGTTACATTTTCACATTATAGAAACGTTATAGATTATAAGACAATGGGCCCCGGGCACGGACATGCAAGAGGCCTCTCATCCTCTCCTACATGTTTCTTTGCTGTGGTTTTCTGTCCTTAAGGTTGTTTTGTGTTTCTTTGTAACCATGTTTTGTCTCTTTTAGGTCATTTTGTGTCTTTTTTTGTCAGTTTGTTCCTCTTTGTAGTTGTTTTACTGTCTCTTTGAGGCAATTTTGTGTCTCCTAGGGATATATTTGTGTCTCTTTGTAGCTTCTTTTCACGTCTTTGTAGTCGTTTTGTGTCTCTGTTGGGCAATTTTTTATCTCTTAGGGTTGCATTTGTGTCTGTTTAGGTGATTTTTTTTCTTTGTGTGGTCGCTTTGAGTCTCTTATGGGCAATTTTGTGTCTTTTAGGGGTATATTTGTGCCTCTTTTTGTCATTTTGTTTCTCTGTGTAGTTGTTTTGTGTGTCTTTGTAGTTCCTTTGCATCTCTTTGTAGTTGTTTCATGTATTTTTGTGGCCATTTTGTGTCTCTCAGGGGTAAATTTGTGTCTTTTTGGTTGTTTTGTTTCTCTGTGTAGTTGTTTTTAGTCTCTTTGAGGTATATTTGTGTCTTTTTTGGTCTCTTTGTAGCTGTTTCATGTATCTTCTAGGCAATTTTGTGTCTTGTAGGGGTATATTGTGTCTTTTTGGTTGTTTTGTTTTTCTGTGTATGTGTTTTGTGTCTCTTTGTAGTTGTTTTGAGTTTCTTTGAGGTATATATGCAACTGTTTTGGTCCTTTTGTGTCTCTTTGTAGTCATTTTGTGTTTCTCTGTTGTTCCTTTTCATCTCTTTGTGGTCTTTTTGTGTCTTTTTTAGGGACTTTTGGTGACTAATGGTGAATGCTTCAATATAGCGTTAACAGCAAGCAGTAATTCCACTTATGGCCACTATGTAAATTGGCTGTTCTTCCCGTGTCAGCGTGGGTTTTCTCCGTGTACTCCAGCTTCCTCCCACAGTCCAAAGACATGCAGGTTAATTGGTGACTCTAAATTGTCCGTAGGTGTGAATGTGAGTGTGAATGGTTGTCTGTCTCTATGTGGCCCTCTAGAGGATAAGCAGTTAGAAAATGGATGGATGGTTGCTTTGTTTCTCTGTGTAGTTGTTTTGTGTCTCTTTTGGGTATATTTGTGACTTTTTTCGGCCCTTTAGTGTCTCTTTGTAGTTCCTTTTCATCTCTTTGTAGTCATTTTATGTCTCTATTAGGTAATTTTGTGTCTTTTGGGGGTATATTTGTGTCTTTTTTTGGTCCTTTAGTGTCTCTTTGTAGTTCCTTTTCATCTCTTTGTGGTCATGTTGTGGCTCTCTGTAGTTCCTTTGCAGGTCTTTGTGGGTTTTTTGTGTCTCTTTGTTGTCTCTTCCTGGTCGATACATGCTAATTTGAGCAATATTTTGCAGGTGAAGGCCAAGAGGGCATCCATCCAAGGTGTCATACGTATCATTTCAACATCTCTAAAGTGATGTATAAGCTAACTTTGTAGAAACGTTGTAGCTCAGCGAGACGCCTGCCAAGCTGCAAACAACTGCAGACCACTCTTTGAGACCAACACACAACTGAATTGTTGTGATTTAGCAAGTCATTTTACTGCTGTGTTTTTAGGGATCCATCGCTGTGTTTTGTGGGGTTTTTTGTTGCAAGAAAAGTGACAGTTTTTTAACAAGACATCGCTGCTTTTCCTGCCAGGATAGCGTCCCCTAAATTTTAAGTACTTTTAGCCAAAACATCATCTTTTCCAAAGTGTTTTTTGTGCCTAAAACTTACCACGTTAACTTGCGTCATTGAAACAGACATTTACAACGTGTCTGCTATATACGTATCGGCCACCGTACTTAGTAGCCCCTTTGCGACGAGCCAAACAGCATTAGAAAAACACTGATGTTTTCATCGGTGTAATCACCTGGTCCATTTGTTTGTTGAGGAAGAGACCAATGCAGATAATTCGGCTCCCAATAAAACCCTCCTGAGCAACGAACACTTAAGGAATCTTAACAGGGAGTTCACACTTGGCACACAGGAGAGGTCTCAACTCAGTGAATCAGTGGAAATAAAAATAATTTAGAACAGAATAAAATAAACATTATTGTCCAGGTGGGGCAGGAAAATTGTGTTTGGTCTCACCCTGGAAACATAAAACATGTCATCACATTAACAGAACAAAGAGCTCCTGATTGTACAATGGTCTTATCACAGAGAAGATGCAGCAGAGCCGCACCCAAAAAGAGTCATGCCCCAGTTTTTTCTTTATTAATCAACTGTCCACTGGCTTTGTCCTACAATCGTCACTTTTTGTGCAGGCAGCCTTGAAGATTTCTCTCCTCCTTCTTCAATGTCCCCTTCTGCAAAATACTTTGATGTGACGGAAATACAGTTCATAGTTCACTTTTTCGGCGCCTCAATTAACTGTCCTGCGCCTGCTTCTCTGTGAACCCAAGGCTGCACCGAGGATGATGTGACTTTCCGCTTGTTTTTTAGTTATTCGTGACCCCGGAGCCCTCGTCCCCCCGCTCCACTACCCCCTCCTCCATCTCCATTCCTCCTCCCTTGTCTCCTGCCCGCTTTATTATTGACGGATGTCCTGCGCAGGCATTTTCATCCATGTCTCTGAGCAGCTCTGCAGGATGTATTCAGTAAGTGTGTGTGTGCAGGGTAGTTCCTGCACATCTGTCGGCTGCATTTCTCTCAGTCAGGGCGGGGCAGAGGTTGTTTTTCACCACCAGGAGAAGGTGTCTCCCATCTAGAACGATCGATTTGGTCGTGCTTCCTTCCTCTTGGTCCTCATAACACAACGCCTCTGCTCTCAGGCAGCAAGCCAGAAGCTTCCGGACACTGTTGTTGTGGAGTACTTACTAATGCCCGTGTACCTGAACCGGTCAACTAAACAATGACACAGATTGTCTTTGCTGCTTGTGATTAAATCCTGAGGAATGAAGAAATGCTTGAGATCGCCTGCACCAAAATACGAGTGAAAGTGAAAAAAATAGAATTACCGCCTCTCGAACATGTTACGTTGCATTTACAGCGAAAACATGGATACTTCAAGGTGGACACCCGAAATTGGTGTCACCAATTCAGTATCTGACCAAATGTCTCCCCTTCTGTTCCTGAGATATGATGTAAAGTAATGGCCAGAAAAGTGTTTTCATAGAACATTATGATGTCACAGTGAAGTCGATCTTTGACCTTTTGGAGATAAAATGTCATCACTTCATCATTTTATCCTATCAAACATTTGTGTAAAGTTTTGTCATCATTAGTATATACATACCTGAGTTATGACCAAAATCATGTTCTGCGAGGTCACAATAACCTTTGACCACCAAAATCTAATCAGTTTATCGTTTCGTCCCAGTGGACGTTTGTGCCAAATTTGAATAAATACCCCCAAGGCTTTTTTGAGACATTGCGTTTACGAGAATAAGATGGGTGTAAGGTCACAGTGACCTTGACTATTGACCACCGAATTCTAATCAGTTCATCCTTGAGTCCAGGTGGTCGTTTGTGCCATATTTGAAGAAATTCCCTGTGGCATTTTTGAGATATTGCATTTATACGAATGGGACAGACAACACAAAAACATAATGCTTCAGGCCACAGCTGTTGCAACCACAAATTTGCAAAAGCCAAGCAGCAACCTCTGCAGCAAACACCGTTCATCTGCACACACTGCGATGCCACACAACTATCTTTGTCTTTTTAACCTGTTGTTGCTGCTCTGTCAGTTTGACATCCTGGATATATCCTTCAAACACAGACTGCAGACCCCTCTGTCTGCTTCTCTCTGGAATCATATCTTTGTTTGTCCAAAACTAGGATGATATTTCTTTCGAGAGTACAGTTGGTGACAGCGCGGGCTCCATGCTTCCTCTGACAGTTTGACGGACCATCAGTGGATAACATCAAAGGAGCAGTGTGGGGCTTGGTGAAGGATCAATTAGCCTATCAGCATTAGTATTGGTCTAAATAATTATTCCAGCATTGGCATTGAAAGCAATTCTGTTCTTGAACTACTGAATTCTTAGATTCCCAGACTCTAGATTACTGTAGCCACTACTATGGAGGTTTGGAATATGTTAGCTGAAAAGGCGCCAGGCTGTGGACCAACACATTCCCCTCCTGCATCCGTTCCATTCAGGGATGCTGTGTCAATTTACATTCATAACATGAATCATGTCGTTTAAAAAAAACTTCATTAAATGCATACAGTCTTTTTCAAAATAAACTTCCAACGCAGGTAAAAACAACTTGTTTTTAGGGTTAGGCAATAAAAGTACGTGGTTAGCTTTAGAAAAAACATCATGGTTTGTCTGGACACATTTTCCCCACAAATACAACATGCTAATGTTTTTAGCACAAGCCTATGGCATTTTACATTGTATAAATTAGCCTAGCAGCTAGTAAAAATTTCCTCTACTCATATGAAGCCAGGGACAACAGCAACATTTAACAAAGGTAACGGTACATAATTCAGCTCCATTACAACTCACAAGGTTCACTGACAAAACAACTGTCTTATACTAAACACGTTTTCCAAACAAAAACAACATGCTAACGTTATTAACACAAGCCTATGGCATTTTACATTGCATAAATTAGCCTAGCGTCTAGCAGAGATTTCCTCTGCTCATATGAAGCCAGGATAAATCACACACAAGACTTAAAATGCTATTTTTGTGGAGGCTTTATTGTCTTCACAATTTATTGTTTCTTATCTGTGAAATTAAAGTAAATAAAAACTTTGTTTCCACTGAGGGAAATGGTTTCAGCTTACAGAAATAGACAGGAGGTCTGCGTCACTGCGACATGCACGTCAGGCTACAGCGTGGGGTACACGGCTCTACGTTGACGAAGAGTCTATGCCGTAGGTATGACGTCGACGTAGCACAGAAGTATAAATTCCGCCTTACGTGTATTATTACTTATGTCGTCTTACTATTTATACTATGGTGGTTACTCAGAACATCAACCAATGCCACTACCTGGGTCATCTCATACCGCCACAAAAGGTTTCCAATGCCGACGGGCCACTGACCAAGCCTTGGTATTTGACAAGGTGGGAGTGAGACCAGGTTGCTTAGATGTATGACATCTCGTCTTCTAGTTGCTGAAATGTTAACACTTCTTTTAAAGTTCGGTGTATAGTTACACATTCTTTAATATTGCAGAATGTAAGAATCACTTTAGGCCTACAACAATTATAAATGAAAATTACAATGTCGAAGCCATAGGGAGCCACTGGAGGGGGGCTAAAGAGCCGGATGTGGCTCCAGAGCTACAAGTTGCCAACCCTTGTATCAACCAACCAACAGAGCAAACTGTAGAACTGCTGGCCGCCACTAAAAACTCCCTTGATAGGATAAGATCTCAATAATGAGGGCACAGCTTGTTTATCCAACAATACACTGGTCTTCCAGCTTCCTCTCAGGCAGCTTCCTCTGTCCTGGAGAGGGTTGAAGGGTAGGAAAGCGTTGGTGGGGGAAGACTGGCGCTCTCTGGCTTACCCCTGGACAACCAGGCACGTACTGCCTCTCCCCAAGGGTCCTCATATATATTTTTTCAACGTGGCACAAAAACACACTCCGCTTTCCTGCCATTACTTTGCTCAGAGCTATGGGGGTTTAGAAAAACTAATAGGGCCACTAAAAATACTTGGAGCCCGGGGCCTGGGCCAGGGCTTTTCCTGCGCTGCTTCCAGTGAGCGCGTGGGCCATTGAGGAAAGAGGAAACGAGCAGCCCTGGTTGTACGGGGGCTTCCTGCACGACATTATAAAGAGTTCCCTCCCTTCAGCCTGCCCTTACAGTGCTGTTCAGAGCCAGTGGAGTGTGAGGCTGAGCCCCTGCTCCACGTCTTTGATTGTAGACTGAAGACTGAGACGGGAGGTTTGACGTCAGCGCGGTGAACGTTGGTTCTCGTCCCTGCTGGTCGGGGTGAGCTGGAAAATGATTTTCACAGTATATTTATATGTTTTAATGGTCTGTTTGATAACTACTTCTTGGATTGATTTGTTTGTTTTTATGTGAAGAGGTTAATGATTTCTTGATTAATCCTTAAAAGCATTTAAGTTTGCCAGTTGATTTAAGTTGTCTTTAGAGACTTTTTACTTCTCATTAATCACTACTTTGCTGCATTTTGCAACTCAACGTTGATGTTTTTTATTGTTTCCTCGTGCAGGTACGAGTAGGGAGCTGGTCTCACCTAACAGATGTGTCTGGGACACTCCAGCCTATTTATTCTATCAGTTACACATAGGTAGGTCATCATTGTGCATTGTAAAGAAAATCTAGATCGTGCAAACGTTCAAATGACGTGCATTCCTTGGTTGCTTCATATGAATTGCCCTCTCTACAGATACAGATAATGGAAGTATTGGAAGGATACGGGGTGGACAGAGTTCAGGAGATGAGGGCTGCAGCCCAAGCTGAGGGATACGTGAAAGAGTTCACTCGCCACTCCAACGACGTGCTGCTGAACCTGAACGAACTCCGGCACCGCAACATCCTGACCGACACCACCCTGGTTGTCGGCAACGTTCAACTACGGGCACACTGTGCCGTGCTCGTGGCCTGCAGGTTGGTGCAAAGGCCAGTGCATCTACACAAAATTGTCCCTCTGGAGGTGTCTTAAGGATCTCTCAAAGGAGTAATTGTGTGTGTTTGGTTGAAATGAATCACATTTTCTTCCTTTTGTGACACATTCCCATGCATGTTTTTTCCTCTCATTCTCTGGTTGACTCATCGCTGTTTTTTGTCCTTCCAAGTTTCAGTTTGTGTCACTTTTCCGCTCACTTTTTCCTGCTTTTCACTTGGGTCCATTGTCTTCTTCTTCCCATTCCTTCACTGTTTCTACCTTACGTCTGTTATTTAAAACTGAACATAATCCAAATTAACACTCAGATCAATTGCATACCTTAACTTTAAATATTTGTATCTTCCCTTGTCTCCTCTCAGCGGGTTCTTCTACTCGCTGTACTCCCGCCGCGTGTTGCTTCAGGGGCGTGGTGGCAGCGGGGAGCAGCTCATGACCGTGTCTCTCCCCACCACCTTGGATCCATCCAGCATCTCCCTGCTGCTCGACTTCATGTACACCTCCCGCCTCCCTCTGACACCCAGCACTGTCCCCGGGGTGCTCACTGTTGCAACCTACCTGCAGATGGACCACGTGGCTGATACCTGCCGGGATTTCATGCAGAGGCACTGGTGAGGAACATCTGTTGTCAGACTAGGACAGATTGTATTATCAATCATGAATACTTTGCATAAAAAAATTTGATTCAAATTGTTTGTTCTTTGATTTTCAGCAGGGAGAATATGAGTGCAAGACACCCTCGACTGGAGCTGGACTCCAGGGTGTCTGTGGCCTCTGTAGCGCCCAGTCCAGGACCCCAGAGATCACTCCCACCAGTGGTGACAACAAGGTAGGAGCATTACGTGTATAACTTAAAGTGATCGAATGAGCTAAAGGTGGGTGTGACCTTCGGGGAGTTTATTGGGTTCTTGTTTACAGATTGTCACAAGTGCTGCTGCAGCAGTTTACGTGCCTTTAGTCTGTCGTCAGGTTTAGCTCATTACAGCACTTCCTTTGTTTCTCCTGCAGGGTCCCTGCGGAAGCCTCTCTCAAGCCAGGGGCTTTCCCGACCTGCCAGTCTGGGTCAAAGGAGCTCAAAGGAGAGCCTGAGTCGCCCCTCATGGCCACCCCGACTCCATCTCCAGACAGCCCCGCCCGCTCCAGCTGCCAACCAAACTCTCCAGCAGAATCCAACACCTGCAACAAAAACCTTGTGGTGAGCTTAAAGAGGATTTTAAATGAGGTCTTTTTATATTCATTTTTATGTTAATACTTGTGTTTTGGGTTTCTACTAGAAGATGTTTACATGAGTTAATGGTCGGGAAACCCTCTATTTTCCTCATATTGTCTGTGCTGGAACACCTGTATTCACCCAAGCCCAGTCTGATCTGATTGGTCAGCATGTTCAGGTCTTCATTTCTCAGCATCTCTGCACCATCAATGCAGCCAGGGTACTACTGTAAGGGAGAATAGCGGCACTTTTTATTATTCAAAGTGATCATTAAAAGTGAAACACAAACGGACATGTTCCAGCAGAAATCTAATTCAAAATGGGGGAGAAATAAATAACATTGGAAACTATCGTTAGCATGTCGCTACATGTACGTTAGCAGTGTACTCACACTCATAGAATGGCACTTTCTACTTAAAAAAAAATCACCAATAAAAGCTTCTAAACACAAAATTCTAAATTGGGAAGAAATTAATAACACTGAAAAATTAAGATTACATGTCTCCCTGATGTTAGCATGTAGCTGCATGTACGTTAGCAGTGTACTTGCAGCTGCGGAATAACTGTAATGGAGGAAAGTGGCACTTTCTACCTTGAAAGGTCGACAATAAAACATTTAAACACAGCCAGACATGTTACAGCATGAATATGATGTGAAATAGTGGAAATATTTACAACATTTGCAACCAAAATTGCATGTTTTCCTGATGTTAGCATGTAGCTACATGTACGTTAGCAGTGTACTTAGAACCATCTAATAATTGTAATAGCTGCACTTTTTACTTTAAGAAAACATCAATAAAAACTGATAAACACAACCAGACATTAGCAGGAATCTAATTCGAAATTGGGAGGAAATTAATAACATTGGAAACTAAGATTACATAGTTCCCTGACGTTAGCATGCAGCTACATGTACATTAGCAATGCACTTGTAGCCATAAAATGACTGTAACGGAGTAAAGCTGCACTTTCTACCATGAAAAGTCAGCAATACAACATTTAAACACAACAAAAAATGTTCCAGCAGAAATGTGATATGAAATCACGGAGAAATTAACATCATTAGCGACTAAGGTTACATGTTTCCCTGACGTTAGCATGTAGCTACATGTATGTTAGCAGTGTACTTGCTGGTGGGGAATGGCTGTAATGGCAAATAGAGGTACGTTCTAATATGAAAAGTCAACAATGAAACATTTTAACACAACCAGACATTTTCCAGCAGGGATATGGTACGAAATCAGGGAGAAATTTACAGGCAACCAAGTTTACATATTTCCCTGGTGTTAGCATACAGCGTCAAGTAGCAGTATAGGCTAGGTAATGTACTTGATACTTGATAAGTAGATAACCATGCAAAAAACTGTTTAACATTTAAATTGTAGTAATTATGGGTTTTGTTTATCTCTGCAGAGTGATATCAAAACCACACCGGACCCGAAGGCCTGCAATTGGAAAAAATACAAGTACATTGTCCTCAACCCTCTCTGTGCAGCCACTACGGTGAAGGAAGAGGAGATGGAGGAACCACAAAGTCACACATCACCCGACAGGATGGGCTCGACACCCAAAGCAACAGAGGCGTGGCCTGGAGAAGTGCCTGGTCAGATTGATAGGTAAGCTGGAATGAATGGTAAAAATGTTTGCATCATGTTTCTGCAAACCATTGATATGCTGCAATTGTACTTTAATACGAAGCAGATATGTTGAAACTCAATGTGTCTCTACATTTCAACAAAGCTGTGATCAATGTGTGGTGAGGTTTAGGTGCACAAACCACCGCCTTTAGTGGCACTATCCCCTGCAGGAAAACAGCAGCTGGGAATGTCCCGACTTGACGTTAAAAATACCCAGTTTAGACGCAGTAACCACAGCTGGAAATGTCCGGACATGCTGTCTCCACCTTTGTCGCAACAGAGATGGCTGGAAATGTCCCAAAATGTTGTTAAAAAATACCCGGTTTTCTGACAGTAAACACAGCTGGAAATTTGCCAATGTGTTGTTAAAAATTACCCAATTTTGTTGCAACAAACTTGGCTAGAAATGTCGCAATTTGTTGCTAAAAATTACCCGGTTTTATCACACCAAACACAGCTGGAAATGCCTTGACATGTTGTTAAAAATATCGGTTTTCTCGCAACAATCACAGCTAGAAATGTCCCGATGTGTTGTTAAACTTTTCCAGCTTCATCGCAACAAAGACGGCTGGAAATGTCCTCGCTTGTAGTTAAAAAATACCTGTTTTTGGTTGGTGTTGCACGGTCATCTGCAGTTTGGTTGGTGTCTCACCTTCTTCCTCATGATCACAAAGTCAGCTCATACACTACATCAGTTTACAAACACTGATATAAAACGTACAAATGTGACATACATATGGTTTGCAGAAACGTTGAAATGCCAACATTTTCCTCTGCCGACGGGGCTGAATAATGACAGTTATGAGATGAGATGAAAATCTTTTTGCAAATATGAACTATGAGCCTGTCTTCATCAGACAGGGGCAGGCCTCCTGCTACGAGGTTTCTGGCCGAGCCCCTCCCCTCGGGCCACCTTCCTCTGTGGATCACCCAACAGCACCTCCCATTCACAAGGAGGGAGCAGGTACGAGCCAGGCCTTTATCATATTGCAGAATATTAACTTTTAAACACATCAAGTCTTAAAATATTTTCTTTTTTCAACACGTTTGTATTTTATCTGCTTCCTCAGTCTCACCCTGCACCATTTTCCCAAACCTGCACCCCACTGATCCGGAAGCGGCCCAACATGTCATCAAACGTGAGAACTACTACGTGCCTTACTGTTATTCTGGCAACCTTCAAGGAACCAAGACTGTCTGCTCAGGTGAGGATACAAAAAAGCTTTTTTCTATTCCCCTTCTTTTTTTTAATGTAAAGCCAACACCTGATGCTGGCCTTTGCCCCAACAGGTGACAAGCCGTACCGCTGCAACGTGTGCGGCGCCCAGTTCAACCGACCAGCCAACCTGAAGACTCACTCTCGCATCCACTCTGGAGAGAAGCCGTACCGCTGTGACACCTGTGGCGCACGATTTGTTCAGGTGAGGGTTAGCTGTGCGTGTGAGCTTGAGGGAAGAGGAAGTGTACGTTTCCTCTTTCCTCACAGACAGTCCTCTTTAGTTGGAGTGTGTGAAGTGGCAGAAATGTCACATTGAGTTAGTTTCAAACCAGTCGGACTAACCAGCAACTGCTCTAGATTGCATCAGTTTTAGAAAAGTATTTGGCTTCAGCAAACTCATTAATTTAAAATAAAAAAATACAACAATTTTTGCTAAAAAATTATCTGAAATTGTGAATTCCTATGTCATACCAGACACCAACAATTTATGTGAACACATGGAGTCAGTCTGTGATTGAACATTTTTTTAAAACACTGTCTATGTGGTTGGTCTTGATGTTAGGTTGCCCATCTGAGGGCCCACGTTCTGATCCATACCGGGGAGAAACCGTACCCCTGTCACACCTGTGGCACCCGCTTCCGCCACCTGCAGACCCTGAAGAGCCATCTGCGTATTCACACGGGGGAGAAGCCTTACACTGTGAGTCAGAAACACACACACTATTCTGTTTCACTGGTGGCATATGTCATACAACATTCCAGCTCAGTCACCAAAATAAAGTGCTGGTACTGCACATTTTTGCAAACCACAGAAAAACTACATTTCTAAAGTGACGTAGTTCAGATTACATGTATACTGTATGAACTGAGTCATATTGACGGGATGGTGGATGGCATGACACCTAGGCGACACCTACAGCTGCAGACCACTATTGAAACCAACAACAAAAGCGAGTATTTTTGACAAGATGTTGGGACACTTTCAACCATGTTTATTGCTACACAACCAACCTTTTTTAACAACGTGTTGCAACTCTTCTCGTCCTATTTGTTGCAACAAACATGATAAATTTTAACAACACGTCAGGACATTTCCAGCCATGTTTATGACAAAACTGGGTATTTTTTAACGACACATCGGGACATTTCAAGTCTTGTTTATCACGACAAAACCGTCTTTTCAAACAATATGTTGGGACACTTCTAGTCCAGTTTATTGCGACAAACCTGGGCCATTTTAATATGTCAGGATATTTCCAGCTGTGTTTGTTGCAACAAAATCGGGTAATTTTTAACAAAAGGTCGGGGCATTTTCAGCCATTTTATTGCGGAAAAAAAAAAACGTCTTTTTTAACAATCTGTCAGGACACTTCAAGTCCTGTTTATTGTGTTGTGATTTTGTTTTGTTTTTCAATTTTAAACATCATGTTGGGACACCTCTACCCATGTTTGTTGCGTTAAAACAAAGTATTTTTTAACGACACATCTGGACATTTCCAGCCGTGAATGTTGCAACAAAATCAGGTAATTTTTAACATGTTTATTGCGACAAAATTAACGTGTTTTTTTTTACAACACTGCAGGACATTTCAAGTCCTGCTCATCGTGACTAAACCGTTTTTTTTTGTGGTGATACCTTTAGTCCTGTTTGTTGCGATAACCCCGTCTAATTTTAGCAATATGTCTGGACATTTCCAGCTGTATTTATTGCAACAAAACCAGGTAATTTTTAACAACATGTCAGGACATTTCTAGTCCTGTTTGTTCCAACAAACCTGGGTCATTTTAACAACATGTCAGGACATTTCTAGTCCTGTTTGTTCCGACAAACCTGGGTCATTTTAGCAATATGTCTGGACATTTCCAGCTGTATTTACTGCAACAAAACCGGGTAATTTTTAACAACATGTCAAGACATTTCTAGTCCTGTTTGTTCCGACAAACCTGGGTCATTTTAACAACATGTCAGGACATTTCCAGCTGTATTTACTGCAACAAAACTGGGTAATTTTTAACAACATGTCAGGACATTTCTAGTCCTGTTTGTTCCGACAAACCTGGGTCATTTTAGCAACATGTCTGGACATTTCCAGCTGTATTTATTGCAATAAAATCGGGTAATTTTTAACAACATGTCAGGACATTTCTAGTCCTGTTTGTTCCGACAAACCTGGGTCATTTTAGCAACATGTCTGGACATTTCCAGCTGTACTTATTGCGACAAAACCGGGTCGTTTTTAACAACACATCAGGACATTTCCAGCTGTATTTATTGCAATAAAATCGGGTAATTTTTAACAACATGTCAGGACATTTCTAGTCCTGTTTGTTCCGACAAACCTGGGTCATTTTAGCAACATGTTTGGACATTTCCAGCTGTACTTATTGCCACAAAACCGGGTCATTTTTAACAACACATCAGGACATTTCCAGCTGTGTTTGTCCTGTTTCAAAACAGGATACTTTAAACAACACAAGAAGCAGACAGCAGACCACTGTTAAACACCAACAAACAACAAGAGCTAGTATTTTTAACGAGATGTCGGAACATTTCCAGCCACGTTTGTTGTAACCAACTGAGTAATTCTTAACAACAGATCGGGGCATTTCCTGCCTTGGTGAGAAAACTGGGTATTTTAAGCCAAACCATAATGTTTTGAGCTTGAATCTAACCAAATCTTAACCACAGCATTGTCTTGAAACGTAAAGAAACATAAAGTTTCACCACCTCTGCAACATGAAACATACAAATTTAACATATCCGTGGTTTGCAGAAGTGCACAATGCCAACATTTATCCTGTTGACTGGGCTGAACTGACACAGCATGTCATGACACAGCTGTTTAATCTGCTGACCTCTTGTTTTTCAGTGTGAGAAGTGTGACCTGCACTTCCGCCACAAGAGTCAGCTGCGTCTTCACCTGCGCCAGAAACATGGGGCCGTCACCAACACCAAGATCCGCTACAAGGTCCTGACCGAGCCCTACCAGCCTATTCTGCAGGCCTGCTGAAGACGTCTGACCTTCGACCCGTTCATCACATCGGTCAAAATAACATCTGAATCACACGGTTATATTAGACATCACGAGAAAAAGTTAGAATGGATTCCATTTGGAAAAGGAGACATTTATGAATAACTTTTAAAGATGTTGGATGAGTTTTGGAGCTTGGAGCTAATTATCAGTATGAATCAATACGATTCTTTAGAAGTCCTGGGTGGCTTTTCGGAGATGGAGATGAAGATGGTGTTGTGAAAAAGTGTTTTGATGGTTTGTGAAGGGATGAAAAGAAAGGAATGAGACATGGAAAGAAAGACAAAACATGTTGGCATGTGTGTACACTGGATTTTGAGGACGTTTGTGAAAGGTTTGAGCGAAAGATAAAGCAAGTTTGACGAAGGAGAGGAGGTGAATTTTGAAGTAAATTAAATTTGGCTGGAAATTTTCTACATAAATGTGTATTTAACTCAGATTTATTTTAATCTTGAGGCCTGGAGCCTGCAAAAACAAAGTATGCAGTGATATTTGATTTTATAGTCCGAGCAGGCAAAGGACTTCTTGTACTGAGTGTTAAGTATAAGAAAAAATGATATATTGTTTTCTGACATGGACAATTTACATGCAATTGGATACGTAATAATAATATTACAGGTGTATTTGTATGAGTTAATTTGCTGGACAAAGATGGTTTTGTACAATCTAAATTAAATCATTTTTACATGAATTGGAGCATTGGTGTTCAGTGTCTCATTTGATACACAAATAAATGGTGAAACTGTTTATCTGGAAGAAATAAAATATGATAATATTGCTAATATGAAAATGCTCACACACTGCACACCAGACTGCACAGTTTCAAGCTCCTTTCGCAGTGCACACTTCCCTCCTTCAGCCTTTCTCCTCCCTGAACTTCCTTCCTCTCGTTAACGCACTCTTTCTCCCCATGAATCACGTCGTCTGTTAAGTCAAACTTGTCCCGCCATTTTCCAAATTTTGTTTTTTCTTGGTTGCTTTTGTGGAAACAATGAAGCCGAGGGCACCTGTTTCCTCCAGGTTGCTAATACTCAAATCTACCAGCCAAGAAAACACGTGTGTGGGCTACCCGCTGCTTCCTGAAGGTGTGGGGGCGGCGGCAGAGGGGTGAGTGCGGAGGTGGGCCTCCAGACTCCTGCTGAACTCCCTCACCCTCTGTCATCCCCGCTTCCTGCTCCCTGATGAGTTGTGGCTAGCTGGGCTCATTGTCCGTGCTCAGCAGACAAACATTGGAAGTCTGACGGGACTTTCCAAACCTCACCGTCCCTCCTCTGCTGAAAAAAAGAAACCCGTGACATGTAGTGTTTCCCCCTCATCAATTGTGGCCGGTGACACCTTTTCAGTTCACTAAAGTTGCACATAGTAGGTCAGAAAAGAGGACTTCTGTGGAACATCTTTCAGGAAGTGAATATATCATAGGAAATGTGTGCAACTTACTTCATGACGTGCGTGTTCCTGGAAACCTTTGAGTGAGCTGTGTGAAATGTGTTAATATGCTTTGGAGAAGGCAAAATTTAGCAGTTGGAGGTTCCTCTCTTCGATCTTTTACCATTTCAACCAGCTGAAACCGATAACAATTCCTTAAGTGGAGGTTTTTACTGAGCTGAGACAATTTCAAACACAAGTACACAAATCAGCTTCACTATAACTCGCAGCATTCACAGACAAACACTTGTCTTTATCTGGACACATTTCCCCCACAAATACAACATGCTAACGTTATTAGCACAAGCCTATGGCATTTTACATTGTATAAATTAGCCTAGTGGCTAGCGGACTTCTCTCTACTCATATGGAGCCAGGGACAACAGCAACATTTAACAAAGGTAACGTTACATAATTTGGCTCCATTACAGCTCACAAGGTTCACTGACAAAACAACTGTCTTATACTAAACACGTTTTTTCAAACAAATACAACATGCTAACGTTATTAACACAAGCCTATGGCATTTTACATTGTATAAATTAGCCTAGCGACGAGCGGAGATTTCCTCTGCTCATATGAAGCCAGGATAAATCACACACAAGACTTAAAATGCTATTTTTGTGGAGGCTTTATTGTCTTCACAATTTATTGTTTCTTATCTGTGAAATTAAAGTAAATAAAAGCTTTGTGTTCACTGAGGGAAATGGTTTCTTGTCTTCAAAACAAACAGACCAGGTAATTAAAACCAGTTAAAACACTAATTAAAGCGGTTTCATGATAGAAATCAGTGTTTCTTCCACACTGCTAGCCTGGCACCTGCTCATCTGTGCTCCCCTTTCTTCCCTGATAACTTAAAATCCAGACGTTCAGGAGGTTTTTACTGGGAGCCGAATTTCCCGCAGAGATATCTTCATGTCCAAAACAAATGGACGTGGGGATTTTAACTACTACAAACAATGAATATAGCTGTTTCAAGATAAAAATCAGTGTTTTTCCAAAGCTTTTCAGCTCATTGCAGAGGGGCTGCTATTACAGTGGCTAGCGCAAAAATGCAAATGGCCCTATCTGATGCTAGTGTTTTGTTTGTTTGTTCTGGGCAACTGTAGAAACATATTGGTGCAACATGTGGACGAGACAACACTCCCTGTGTAGATATTTATGTTTAAAAAAAAAAAGAAGTAAAAAACATGAAATTAAAGAAGACCATTGCATTCACAGAGTTAAAGCTAGTGAAGACACAGGTATTGTATTAAACGATAGGGGAGACCGGGGTTGGTTGTCGCACGGGTTGGTTGTCACAGTGCTTATTACAGCCACACTAGTGGGCGCTGTGACACTATGTTGATATCAAACAGTTGGCCTGACGAGCCCGGTCTCACTCTGAAGTCGTTGAAATCAGTCGCTTGGACAGTGACTTGCGTCATCAGAAAGCAATGAAAAAATTTGTCCTTTAACGTCGGCTTGATACACCACGTGCTTTTGTTGTTGAAGGAAAAAAAATAGAATTATTATTAATTATTGCATATTATTATGATGTAATACCTTGCAGTAATTTCCTAAATCAGTGTTTGATTTTACTTCTCTCTAATCATTCATTGACTACCTCTGCTTTTCATGAGAAGAGAACAAGGTCTTAACAGAAGATACGAGCACAAGTAGACCCGAAACATGTGGAAATATGATTAACAGGAACATATAGGATGTGTTGGGTGTCCCCTTGCACGTATTTCCTAACAGCTGGCCTGCATATAATAACACAAACATTAAAGCACCACATGGGAAATGATTATAGAAGAGAGGTATACAGGTCATACCAGCGACATGCATAACATGCTCCACCTAAGTCCCAGGGATCATGTCAAACAGCACCGTGTTTCCTTCAGGGCAGTCGTTTAAAAGTAGTTTTACTGAGCTCTGAGTGCACCCTCGGAACATTTAAAGGAATGATGGAGATATATTGATCTGAAACCTTGTGTTCCAGTAGAGGGGCTAATGATGCAAACCTGTTTTATTTACTCTCTATAATTAGCAGATGATCTGATGCCACAGTCAGCATGAACCCTCTCACTGACTGAAACACAAATAAGACTTCTTCACTCCTGTGGCAACAAGTTTATGCTATGCTGCCCTCTATTGGACACAGTCATGCTCACAGTCCTCATGAGCGTGTGCAAGGTTTACCATGTGTGCACTGTTAACGACTGTCTTTAATCCAGTATAAGTTAATGCCAAGAATATACTATAGTGCAGATCAAATTCATATTTTCCAACAATTTGACTCTGAAAATAAGAAACCCAACAGGATGGCAAATTATTCTCTCGTCTTGAGTTTCTACCCGAGTTTCATGAAGTAGACACATAATTACCTGCCAGTAGCTGGTGCCAAACACCAGGCTGTTGTCCAGATGGCTCCATGCTGCTGGAAAAGTAAAAACTAGGACAGCGCTCCAGTTTGACTTTTTAATGTTGCCACACAGACACCCTTCTGCAGCGTGTATCCTGGCAGTGTCACCAGGTGGGGTTGATTACAGGTGACTGCAACCAGCACAACAAGTACTTCCCAACAGGGGGCGCTACAACCTTTCATAGCACTGAATCTCACGGTGGTGATCACTGAAATACCATGAGTCCAATTAAACCAGAGACTGCTGAAGAAAGTGTCACATTCAGACAGGGGAGTGTCTAGAGTATTTTAGATTAAGGGGCCCAAGTGGGTATTTTAAGCCATAAAGTGTTGACATTAGAGGAAATCAATTTATTGTGTCAGTCCGACTAAAACCAGACTTTTAAAATACATTTAAACATGTTACTCAGTCAGACTAAGGGCCTGTTTATACAGTTCCACATATATTTCTCAAAACGGGTATTTATCTTTGCGTTTGCACCTATCATTTACACGTAACCGGCGTTTTTCTCGACGAAAACGGAGGTTTTCAAAAACGGCTATTTTTGAAAATATCCGTTTCTATGGAGACGTGTAAACAGGACTGATGGCGATTTTGGAAAACGATAATGTTGCAACCCAGTTCGTGCATGCCCATTAGGTGCCCGGGAACTACAACAACAATGGCGGATATATGCTGGGTTGCTTTCGTTTTGTTAGCACTTTTGGGACCACTTACGAGCTTACAAATTAACTTAGCACTGCTGCATCAACATCACCGCTACATCAGCGCACAAAGACGTCTGCTGTGCCTGATATTAGTAAGTGCATAGCAGCTAACTATGCTACATAAGGTTAAAATGTAGTCTATCATTGTTTTTATCACTAGCACCAAGAGGAAAACAAATCACTTTGCATGCGCAAAATGTTCTTCTATGGTGTTTGACATATGGCGTATCACCACCTACTGGCCTGGCATGCTAACTGCAGCAAAAAGCTGTAGTTTCTGCGTTTTCGTGGAAACAGGGATATCGTTTTCACAACTGATCGTGTAAACATATGCACATCTCTAAGGTGGCAATCACTCATAAGGGCCCATTCTTTCAAAATACACTTCTGTTGTCACAGGAACTTTAACGTTTACATACAGTCTCTTTCAAAATAAAAGCACTACGTCAGTACAGCAACAGAAAACAGAACAGGGTTTGGCTTTAGAATCTTCCGGGACACAGACACCGCTCTCCTGGGTGAAAGTCCATGTTGGACCCATCCACCACCCCTCCCATCAGCCCCACTCGGACCTTAACTTTTGTTTTTGTCCTGCCACGTTTCCCCCTGACGCCACAGAGTGCCATTAAAATATACCAGCAACTACCTGGGTATCATGCCAACGTCAAAGGACATCTTTTATCATCTGTGTCTGACGCCACAAGTCAGTAGCCCCTTTTACACTGCCAGATTGTTGGGCTGTTTTGTCGGCAAGCTGCGAGCCTTTAGACACACAGAGCCGTTTTGGTGAGTTGATCCGAGGTGCCCAATTTTGGCCTCGTAGGGTAGTCATATTGGCGGAACCTTTTTGGTTTAAACAGAACGAGGCGCCCTTCCGCCACGGGAGGGGCTGTTGAGGACTTGTGGGAGGAGCTGTTGATGACGCCACACGTGCGACCCACTGGCGGTGGATAAACAGGAAACAGCTGATAGTAGGAATTAGCGAGCAGCTAGTAGCAAGAGGGAAACGCAAACCTGACGGACACTGTAAAGATGAGCAACTGGGGAGACAAGGAATTGCGCGCCCTCCTTGTCCTCACAAACGAAGAGGCCATTTACCGTCAGATGACGGGAACGGTGAAGAACGGGCCGACTTGTGAGAGAATCGCAGAAGGACTGACCAGCCGCGACTTCCCTCCCACGTCACTGTTTACGTCACACTGAGCTACACGTTTTGTTACTTGCTCACTCCCTCCATTGCCCTGAAAAAGCCACACTCTGTATGGACAAAAGTAAGTAGGCGGCATTTTGTTTTTATACTGCCAATGCTGAAAGAAGACTGATCGGGCTTTCCTGCAAATTTGCACAATTCCTGTTTGAAAAGGTCTACTGCCTAAGCACCAGATTTCAACATGAGTGAGACCATGTTGACCTCACAACATGTCATCCTGACATTAAATTTTGCTCACCCGATGTGACAACCTATGCAAAGAACTCATTGTCACCAACAATTACTGCTCACTGTGGTTTACCTGAAACATTATTTTAATGTGGGAGACAAAAAACGGACATAAAATTATTAAACTTTGTATTAAACTGAGGATATACTTCACATGTTAAAGGACTTTGAGGGCTTTCACCCTATCAGGACTCATGCTGGAGAAAGAAACAGGAACAAGACATACGTCATAGACTGAAAATCATAGCTATCACAGGTGCTGGCGCGTGATAATCCGGGTTTTATTACAAAAACATACCGCATGCACGCGCCCTCGTGAGAGCTGCGCACGCGCCCCGTTAACTCCTTGTTGTGCAGTGACCGTTGAACTTTTCCCTCTGCCTCCGCTGACAGTGTGCTGCCTGCTGTTTACCACAGTGTACCGGGAGCCTGTGGACAATGTGCCGCTCCGGAGGAAGCTGATACACCGAGGGTGAGTCATGAAGCTTTTATTCACCTGCCAGCCGTTTAAAACCCGTTTAATCCTATGTGAACGGACGGTGACATGTTTTGTTGTTGAGCCGTGTTGCAGGTTTCGTCTGTTGTTACGAAACGGTTAATATCTGCCTGTAGACGTGAACATACTCACACCGCTACAGCTGAGACCTTACTCACAACAGATGGAAAACAAATTAAAAAATACTCTGAAACACATCAGCATGATCATAGTCTCACCAAAATATGTTTATATAGTCTCGAACATTATGTTTTTGGTGTCGAATACAGTGGTGTGTGGTGGCAGGCACTGCGCATGCGCTGTGTGAAGCAATGATGTGCACTGTTTCCAGTGCGCGTTCCCGCTTGTCTACCTGTTAATTGCTGTGTAATTGATCCTGAGTGAAGCTGAGTGACGTGGCAGCGCGTTTTAATCAGGCATTAAATGGGAAATTAATTAATTAAGCTTCTTTATATGAAGTCGTGGTGATGTGCACGTGGATTTAATATGTAAATAATCAAGGAGCACACAACAGAGAAGCTGAGCTCTTATTTTATACATTTATACGTGTTAAATCAGTGTGTAAAAGGTGATTATTATCAGAGGTGGGTAGAGTAGCCAAATATCGTACTCAAGTAAGAGTACTGATACTTTAGAACAATATTACTCAAGTAAAAGTAAAAAGTCGTCATCCAAATAATTACTTGAGTAAGAGTAAAAGAGTATTTGGTGAAAAAACTGCTCAAGTACTGAGTAACTGTTGAGTAACGTCTGATTTATTTGTAAAATAAGAACATGAATGTAATCAATCAATCAAAAATAATGATCTGCAAATTCATGTATTTTAAATGATACCCCTTTAACTAAAAAATAAATTAAATCTTTACAAACATAACATAAATCAAGGCACAAGAAACACAAATATATTCTTATATATACTGTACATATATATATGTAATTATGTACTCAGAGGTGGGTAGAGTAGCCAAATATTGTACTCAAGTAAGAGTATTAGTTACTATTATTAGTTACTACCCACCTCTGATTATTATTATATCTGTATCGTTTTTTATTTTATTATTTCTATCTCTGTTATTTTTTGGGGGGCGGCAGTGGCTCATCCTGTGGGAACCTGGGTCGGGAACAGGAAGGTTGTGGGTCCAAGTCCCTGTCCAGACCCAACATGGAGTGTGGAGTGTGAATAAAAATAACTCCAATAAATCTTAGTTGTAGAACTGTATTGTATTTGAATCACAAAATTGTAACGTCACAGGCTGCTATCTCAGCACCTGCTCATCTGTGCTCACCTTTTCTCCCTGATATTTTAAGATCCAGGTGTTCAGGAGGTTTTTCCCGGGAGTCGAATCGTCTGCAGAGGTCTCTTCATGTCCAAAACAAACGGACCAGGAGATTGTAACCGCTACAAACAGTGAATAAAGCAGTGTCAGGATAAAAGTCAAAGCTTTTCGCCTCAGCGGAGAGGGGTTGCTAACTACTTAGCCACTTGTTAGCAATAACTGCCTTTTTAAAGGCACACACAGGAGCCTCAAAGTTCATAAGTGGGGTTTTTACTGACGTATTTTATGTCACAGAACAAAACGTTTCTCTTGTGTCTCTTATAAAAGGCATCTATCCAAAAAAACATTAAAAAAAAAACTGCTGAGACAAGGAACCAGGAGTGGTAAAATGCTCCCACTGACTCATCCCTCAAAGAAACCACACTGAATATTTGCCTGTGTAAAAGGTAACGATCACATGACCCTAGTGTGAAACTCTGCAGCTGAAGTTTCAAGTCTTGTAGTGCAGGCATGTGAGAGAGAGTCCTGGGTGCAAATTCCTGTAATTCCCGCAGCAGAGAAGTGAGTGACATTATGTGAGGAGGGATTCAGGTCACTGTGTTACTTCTTGCTTTGGCTCATTTCTCAACTCACGACACAAACTCACCAAACTGAGCAACAGAGGGGACAACACTGCTCACCCAACAGCACATATAATCTGAACTGCCGACTATAAGTTTGGTTTTACATTGTAGCTGTGTGTACAGAAATTAAAACCTGATCTTAAGGAGTCAACAGAAAACAGCTGCAGGACAAATAAGAGGAAGTCTGGTCATGTTGAGGTCACATGTCAGGTTTTTCCACATCAGTGAGCTGATCAGTCACATTAAATGGGAGGCTCAGTTTTCAGGAAACTCTGTGAGCCACTCCCTCCTGCACTCTCTGCCTGGTTAGCACGAGCTAACACATCGAGTCCATGGTTTCCCAGACAGGAAAAAAAAACGGAGCTAGCTTTCATGACTGGGTGCGGTTTGTAGAGTTGAAGACACGGGACTATATTGCGGCATCGGTAACAAAACACACGGCCATTTGTTGCGCTCATTTTAGACCGGAGGATTTGTTGCAGGTGACATGTTAGTATAATATAATATATTAGTATAATGTTAGTATAATGTGATGCTAACAGTTAGCCCTGTCACTGTGTGTGCGACTCTGTCACAGGCGCAGACCTCACACTCCTGCAGCTATAGTCTCAGAGAGCAGGGCAGGGCGGGGCTGAGCAAACCAACATGCTGGGTGCAGCTCTACAATGAAATGAAATTGAGCTGACATTGAGATGAGCTTTTTGCAGATGATGTGGCTCTGTTTGCTTGGCCGAGTGTAACGTGGTTGGGGAGAGGGTCAGCATCTTGAAGTCTTAGGCCATGGTTCTCTGCCAGAAAATGGTGGATTGTTTCCTCTGGGTTCGGAGAGTTGGTGCTTCAAGCAAGGGAGTTCAAGTATCTTGGGGTCTTGTTCACGAGCGAGGGTAGAAAGGAGCGTGAGATGGATCGGTGGTTTGGTGCGAGCTCTGCGCTGGACCGTAGTGGTGAAGAGGGAGCTGAGCTGGAAGGCGAACCTTTCAATTCACTGGTCCATCTACGTCCCAACCCTCACTTATGGTCATGAGCTCTGGGTAGTGACTGAAAGAATGAGATTGTGGATACAAGCAGCCGAAATGAGTTTCCTCTGTGGGATGTCTGGGCTCAGCCTTACAGATAGGGTGAGGAGCTCGGACATTCGGAGGGAGCTCAGAGTAGAGCCGCTGCTCCTTCGCATTGAAAGGGGTCAGTTGAGGTGGTTTGGGCATCTGATCAGGATCCTCCTTAGCGCCTCCCGCTGGAGGTGTTCTGGGCACGTCTCACTGGTAGGAGGCCCCGGGGCAGACCCAGAACATGATGGAGGGATTACCTAAATCATCTGTCCTGGGAACGCCTTGGCGTCCCCCAGGAGGAGCTGGAAAGCGTTGCTGGGGAGAGGGACGTCTGGGGTGTTTTCCTTGGCCTGCTGTCTCTGCAACCCGGCTTCAGATAGGAAAATGAAAATAAAAATGGAAATGGCACAGAATTCACAGGGGTTGGCTGAATTTGCGTTAACAGACACATCCTTGAGGGGCTGTTTAAAGACTGCCTAAATGCAGAAGTAAGCTATATTAACACTGCTAAAGAAGAAGTGAAGAATGTAAATAACTTAAAAATGTCACTGAAAAAGTCAAATGAACGATTGCACATCACTCACTTAAATTTTCTGTCACTTCTGCAGACTACCATAAAACCTTGTGAGAGCCGATTCAGTGGCTTTCTTTAACTTCTTCACAGCTGATCCATGAACAATTGAGCACTCACCTCTCACCTATATTTTGTTGATGAAGGCCAACTTGTTAAGCAGCCTCGTTACACTTACATGGCACAACCAGGGGAATCTATTGGCCAGTGGGAAGTTAATCATTATGGCTATTGACAGCCACAGAGAGGATCAGAGACTTGTCCTGCACTGAGCTATACAAGGCTTATATCTTCATGTCCTCTGTGCTTCCTCTCTCCTCTCCTCCTCAGATAATTCTCTTTCAGACATGACCAACGTCAAGCCCAAAGCAGAGAGGCAGAGCGATGGAGCCGAGGGCCCAGACGGAGGCTGGGGCTGGGTGCTGGTGGGTGCCATGTTCGTCAGCACGAGCCTGGTGTTCGGCCTGATGCGTTCCTTGGGGATCTTCTTCGTAGAGTTCGTGCAGTACTTTGAGGAGAGCGCCCAGGCCATCTCTTGGATCTCGTCCACGGGCCTGGCAGCACAGCAGTTCTTCAGTGAGTCCCTGTGTGTGTTCAAGTATCAATGTGTTTGTTATGACGGCTAACAACTATTTTAACTATTAATTAATCTGTTGACATGAAACGAAGAAAGGCAGCTTGATAAAAATGTTAATGATCGACTAATGGGCTGATCCTTGCAGTGCTAGCTGCAGGTAACAGACTTGATCTTGTATAATTTTCTCTCATTAAATCTCGATCAAGAAGCAGATGATTGCTAGAAGGGTTTTTAAACCTGAGCCCTGTCACGTGTGGTTTGTGAAAAAGAAGTTGCAACTCATTAACCCTTTAACCAGCATCGGCGGGTCACTCATTACGCACTCATGCTGTCCAGCCACACGTTCAAACACACAGAACTTGGTGAAAACTGCAGCAGGGACTCAAAAGATGTCAGATATATCAGGCTGAGATCAAGAAAAGATCATCTAGAGTTGTTAAGTTAACTGCAGATATTTGGCTTCATGCTAAATAGTCTGGACTAACGGAGGTGTCTGTGATTGTTTCCCAGGTCCGCTGGGTGCAGCACTATGTAATGCATATGATGCCCGGGTGGTGGTGATGACGGGGGGCTGTCTCGCTGCACTCGGCCTCATCCTCGCCTCGCAGGCCACCTGTCTTGTTCACCTCTACCTCACCATGGGTGTCATCTCAGGTAATTAAGTCTCACAACATCAATGCTGTCATTCCTGTTCCTCAGGGACAACTGGATTAGAAATGACCTGCTCGTTATTTTTAGACGTGTTGTAAAGCAGGTCATCTGTGTTTATGTAGTTAACTATTAACCTAGTTCACTGCAGGTGATCAAAGTGGCCTCTCACTGTGGCTCTCCCCTCCCCGCTCCTCCAGGTTTGGGCTGGGGGCTGATCTTCACTCCCATGGTGGCTACAGTCATGGCTAACTTCACCCGCTGGCGTGCCCTGGCGTTAGGACTGGGCTTCTCCAGCATCGGCCTCTCCTCCTTCGCATTCAACCCGCTGTTCCAGTGGCTGGTGGAGATGTACGCATGGCGAGGGGCTCTCCTGATTCTGGGGGGCCTTAGCCTCAACATCGTGCCCTGCGGGGCTCTGATACGCCCAAAGCAACGCTCTAAAGCCCCGGCAAAGGTGAGACAAGACTTTACTGTCTTCGTCTTTTGTACCAGCTTATAAATGGACCAGATATTGATGCACAGGTGACAATCAGTGAAAGATAAATGGGCAAATTTTTTGTTTTTGTTTTTTGACTTAAGGCCACTTCCAGAAAAAGCCCAGTCTACTCTGACTAGTCTGCGTAACCAGGTCTTCTGTATCCTGGTATATCTGCACAGTCAGTGCAGCCACCAAAATGACTGTAAAGGATAATAGTGGCACTTTCTACCCTGTCAGTTCACCAATAAAATCTTCAAAACACATCCACATATGTTCCAGCAGGAATACGATCTGAACTTTGGGAGAAATTTACAACATCAGCAACCAAGATTCTGTATCTGTGACATTAGCTTTAAGCTACACGTTGTAGTGTAGAAGTGGTAGTAGTGTCCAAGGAATGACTGTGATGGAGTGTCGTGGCACTTTCTACCGCAAAACAAACCACCAATAAAAGTTTCTAAACACAACCAGACATGTTCCAGCAGGAATATGACCTGAAATTAAGGAGAAATTAACAACATGGGCAACCAAGATTACATGTTTCCTGACATTAGCGTGTAGCTACATGTAGCAGTATATTTGTATCCGCGGACTGACTGTGACAGAGTATAGCTCAACTTTCTACCATAAAAGTCACCAATAAAAGCTTCTAAACAGAACTGGACATATTTTAGCAGGAATATGATCCAAAATTAGGGGATAAATTAACAACTAATCAGCAACTAAGATTACATGTTTCTTTGATGTTAGCATGTAGCTACATGTACGTTAGCAGTGTACTTGCAGCTTTGGAATGACTGTTAAGGAGAATAGGGACATTTTCTACCTTGAAAAATCATTGATAAAATCTTCTAAACCAAATCTTCACAACTTGACATGTTCCAGCAGGAATTTAATCCAAAATTAGGGAGAAATTAACTACATCGGCAACCAAGATTACCTTGATGTTAGCATGTAGTGACATGTAGCAGTGTACTTGCATCTGGGGAATGATAATAGCAGCTTTTTCTACTGTGAAAAATCACCAATAAAAACTTCAAAACACAACCGGACATGTTCCAGCAGTAATATAATACAAAATCAGGGAGAAACTAACAACATCAGCAACCAAGATTATGTGTTTCCCTGAAATTAGCATGGAGCTACATGTATGAGTGTAGTTGCACCTGGGGAATGATTATAACGGAGTATAGCGGCACTTTCTACTATGAAACATCATTTTTAAAACTTGAGATGTTCCAGCAGGAATACGATCCAAAATCAGGGAGATATGAACAACATCGGCAACCAAGATTATATGTTTCCCTGACGTTAGCATGTAGCTACATGTAGCAGTGTAGGCTACGTTATATTGCACTTGCAGTTAGGCCAACCTTTCCTACTTTGCCTCCCCACAGGTGGACTCAAAGAGCAGGACATCATGCACTGCGATGCTGCACCGAGTCTCCTCCTACCTGGAGCTGTCTCTACTCTTTGAGAGGCCGTACATCACCTACACATTCGCCGTTACGCTTCTTAACGTCGGCTACTTTGTGCCGTATTTCCACCTGGTGGCCCACAGCCGCCAAGCTGGCTTCTCAGAGTACCAAGCTGCTTTTGTCATGTCAGCCGCCGGTGCTACAGACATTCTGGGGCGAGTGGTGTCGGGCTGGTTCTCAGACCTGCGTCACTTTCGGCTGATTCATTTACTGACCATGTGGACAACGCTGGCGGGAGTCTTCATCATGCTGCTGCCTGTGAGTTCCTTGTCCGGCTCCTACGCTGCACTGATGGTGATCAGCCTCCTCTACGGCTTCTGCTCCGGGGCGCTCACGTCTCTGGCGTTCGCGGTGGTGCCCATGATTGTGGGCGTGGAGCGCATGATGGGGGCCCTCGGGCTGCTGCAGCTCATCGAGAGCGGCGGGGGGCTGCTGGGGACACCACTGTCAGGTACGAGCGGCACAATGACGGAGCAGTTGCACAGTTCATAATGTGGGTCATGTCACCATGTTTCGTGTTATCTCAAGTGACAAAATAAGATAAATACAGGTTAACACACAGGAGCTAAAAGTAGTCAAACATTAATTGAGCAATCAGGATCAGACAGTTCCCTCACTCCCTCTTCTTCATAGTGAGAACAAAATGTCTTCAAGGGTCAGTGCACCCAAATTACCAAAAAACTCAATGCTTTCTCACTTTACCTGTGGTTATAAGCAGCCACTCAGATAGATTTATAAGACTTATGTTTCCCTAGTACAATTGAGATTAATGGAACTGAACAAAAAGTCAGTTGTTATTAACATTTCATTCCTATTTCTTATAGGAATTTTAAGTATTTTTCAACCTGGATCCTATTTCCCCACGTTTTTGTCTCTAAGTGACCAATAAGAACAACTATTTTAAATTCGTCCAGTATTAAGCGAGACCGCTGTGGCCGGCAGCAGCAAAACAGGCTGCGATGTAACTTTTATGATCATTTGCATGCCATCAATTTACATCCACTTAAAGTGTTTGTTTTTGTCACTGACAGGCTCGGATTGTTGTTCTAAGTGTCTGACAACATTATGGAAAGGATCCCGACAGAGATAGACCTTTTGTTAATGAGTAAGATCCTTTTTGTTTAACCACAAACAGCCCAGAAATCTGTTGTCAAACCCACCAGACTCCATTTAAATAAACAGTAATTTTATAATTGCAAAACACACTTCAGTCAAAGTCAATACATACAAAGTAAAACCTCCAGAAGCGGTCTTGGGTTCATCTTTCCACTGTTCCAACAACCATCAACTCTGGTGTGGTTGAAATTAACCCTTAATTCACCCAGTTAGATGTGAAAATGTACTTGATTTATACATGTCAAAATATTGTGCTTATTTAAATGGAGTGGACTGGTGCGTTTGGTGATGGTGATTTCAGTGTCTGACAACATTTTGAAAAGGATCCCTACAGAGATAGACCTTTCTGTTAAAGAGTAAGACACAACCCCAACATTGCCATCACCAAACCCACCAGACTCCATTTAAATAAACAGTAATTTTAGTGTGTATAGAGCTAGCATATTTTCACATCTAACTGGGTGAATTAAGAGTTTATTTCAACTAAACCAGAGCTGACGATTGTTGGAACAGTGGAAAGACGAACCAAGACAGTTTTTGTGAGTTTTATTTTGTTTCTTTCGACTTTGAATGGTGTGTTTTTTACTTCGGTAAAATTACTGCTTATTTAAATGTAGTCTGGTGGGTCTGACGATGGTGATTTCTGAACTGTTTTTGTTTAAATAAAAAGAATCTAACTCTTAAACAAGAAGCTCTATCTCTGTAGGGATCCTTTCCACAATGTTGTCGGACCCATAGACACATAAGCCACGTTTCCATCAGCCTGTTTAGAAAAATCGGAAAATTGTGATGGAAACGCCAAAATTCGAATTAAAATCCCCTGATTCGCACAAACTAAAATATGCTCGCTTTAGCCGGGTTTTGGTTGATTCGAAAAAATGTTGATTTGCAAAACGGGGGATGGAAACAGTTATGTTGGAATTAAGTCTGACGTAGCGCACCTCTCTCCATGGTGATATCCACACTCCGGGTCGGGATGGTGGTAATGCATTTACAAGCTGATTGCCAACTGCCAGAAAAACGTAGAAGAAGAAGAATGCGAGACTTGTTTTGTTTCCGGTTTTCATCAAAGTCCGGACATTTAATGGAAACACACAGGATTCGTATTTCTTTTAATGCACATTTCCCAATGATTCGAATCACTTTTGGATGGAAACATAGCTATAGTTTTTGTCACTGAGCCTGTCAGTGACAAAAACATGGCCTGGGCCCAGACCTTGAATCCACCCACTCCACTGTGTAGAGAGTTGACAATACTGTCTGATATTAGTCAAGCAAAAACGTTACATTGCATCCTGTTGTCTCGCTCTATACAGGACCAATTTCTAAAAATGTTGTTCCCATTAGTCACTTAGAAACAAAAACATGGGAAAATAGGGTCCAGGTTTGAAAATATTTAAGTTACCCTTTAAAAATATTGCCAACCTGAACCTTGATAATAACCCTGTTAAAAGAAGAGAACACTCCTCTTTCTTCAAATTCCCAAATAAATCATATTCACATACCTTTTCACAGCGGACACGTTGACTTGACATAGTAAGAAGAGCACAGGTGATGCTAATAACACTAACGATGGCTGTCCTCCAGCAGCAGTTAATGTCATTAATTACACCTGTGGAAGAAGTTCAGTTTCAGGTCCTGTATCTGTTGAAAAACCTCAGATATCTCTCTAAAGGTCAATTTAAAGACTTAGTTGAATCAAACAGGTCACAGTTTTAAGACCTAAGAAGCTTTATATTTGTAGGATATTTGTGTTTATTGGATATATTCTCCTGTCTCAAGGGTTGCTCAAGGACGTCACAGGCAACTACGTCGCCTCCTTCGTGGTCGCGGGCAGCTTCCTCGTTCTCGGTACCTTGACCATGGCCACTCTGCCTCACTTCTTCTCCTGCAAAGATCCGCCGCCTCCTCAGAGACGTTCCCTTCAAGACAGTACCAAGGGTTTACACTCAGAGCTGGAACAGATGAACAGTTTGCCTTCCAAACAAACCACAGAGGAGGTAATGATCTGACACCTGCAGTAAACACTAACCCACAAGACTGTGTAAGTTAAGGATTCGAGAGCCTTGTTGGGACTCCTCCAGTCCAGCCAGTGTGACAATGGCGCCTTCCTGAAGGCGCTGTCAGTTAATATGCTGCTCCACTTGTCGTTGAATGGCGTGTTGGATACGTGTTTGCATTATACCTCAGAGATTCAGACCCAAAGAAAGAAGCTAACTGTGAAAACTCCAACAGCGTAAAGGGGCCAGTGAGTTCCTCACTCTGTTACACATCCTAACCTCAGTTTAACGTTTAGACCAGCACCTTCTGCCTGAATGGAAACACTGTGCGTTTAAATACTTTGTAACATACACATGTGGTTCCAAGTTGTTCTATACTTGAGTGGAAAACTAAGAAGCAGAACATTTATTTTAAGTTGTTCGTGTGAATGTAAGATGTGAATCTGATTCTGTTATTGTGAGATTTTTACACGTACATGATTAAAGTAACTTTGTTGTTTTTCAACTTGGATGGTATTTTCACATTTTTGTGTCTAAGTGACAAATGGGAACAACTATTGTTGAAATTGGTCCAGTATTCAGAGAGCACGCTGCAGCAGGAAGCAGCAAAACAAGCTGCAATGTCACCACCTTGGGCGTGTTTACTTCTCAATTTACGTCCACTAAAAGTGTTTGTTTTTGCCACTGATAGGCTCGGATTGTTATTTTGTCGTGCCTAACAACATTTTGGAAAGGATCCCAACAGAGATAGATCTTTTTAACGTCCTAACCCCCTAACCCTAACGTTGGCATTCAACTTTGTCCTGACATTGATTTGGGTTATCTGAGATCACAACATAAATTCAGCCAAATATCTATTGATGTTGATGGCAAACTGGGAACCCCTCAGGATGTGTACGTCTATGTGCCACTGACAGGCTCAGATTGTTATTATAAGTGCCTAACAACATTTTGGAAAGGATCCCTACAGAGACAGACCTTTTTATTAAAGAGTAAGATTGATTTTATTTGACCAAAAACAGCCTTGAAATCACCACAGCCAAACCCACCAGACTCCATTTAAATAAACAGTAATTTTATCATCATAAAACGCACTTCAGTCAAAGTCAATAAAGGCAAAATAAAACTCACAAAAGTGGTCTTGGTTTGTCTTCCCACTGTTCCAACATTCACCAACTCTGGTTTGGTTGAAATAAACCCTTAACTCACCCAGTGAGATGTGAAGACATGCTGGCTCTATACACGCTAAAATTACCTAATATTTACATGGAGTCTGGTGGGTTTGGTGATGGTGATTTTGGAGGTTGTCTGTGGTGAAACAAAAAGGATTATAAGCTCTATCTCTGTAGGGATCCTTTCCATAATGTTGTCAGACACTTCAAATAACAATCTGAGCCTGTTAGTGGCAAAAACAAGCACTTTCAGTGGACGTTAAGTGACAGTTGCCCCCAAGGTATAACAATGCAGCATGTTTTGCCACAGCGCTCTCGCTCAATAGGAGACCAATTTTAAAAAATAGTTGTTCCCATGAGTTACCGACACACAAAAACATGGGAAAATAGGGTCCAAGGAAAATACCAGTGTCACCCTTTAATCTTCACTATCCTCATTTAAATTACACTGCTCAAAAAAATCAAGGGAACACTTAAATCACATATCAGATATTGATGAACAAATTATTCAACTGTTAAATCTTTACTGATGCACATTGTCTAGTTTGTTGAGAACAAAATGACGTAATAACGGTCAGTGGAAACCAAAATCATCAACTCACTGAGGGCTGGATTCAAAATCACACCGAAAATCACAGGTTGATCTAACTCATAATGTGACTCAGTAGTGTGTGTGGCCCCTGTGTGTCTGTATGCACTCCTGACAATGTCTGAGCATGCTCCTGATGAGTCAGCAGATGGTGTCCTGGGGGATCTCCTCCCAGACCTGGATCAAGGCATCACTGAGCTCCTGGACAGCGTCAGATGCACCGATACATAACGTCACATAGGTGCTCAGTTGAGGTCAGTGGAACCAGAGGGCCAGTCAATGGCATCAATGCCGTCATCATCCAGGAACTGCTTACACACTCTGGACACATGAGGCCAGGCATTGTCCTGCACCAGGAGGAACCCAGTGCCCGCCGCACCAGGAGGAACCCAGGGCCCACTGCACCAGCATAAGGTCTGACAATTGCCCTGAGGATTTCATCCTGGTACCAAACAGCAGTCAGGGTACCTTTGGCTATGACATGGAGGTCTGTGCGACCCTCCAAGGACAGGCCTCCCCAGACCATCACTGACCCACCTCCAAACCGGTCATGCTGGATGATGTCACAGGCAGCGTAACGTTCACCACGGCGTCGCCAGACTCTTTCACACCTGTCACATGTGCTCAGTCTGAACCTGCTCTCATCTGTGAGGAGAATGTGTCACCAATGCCAGTTCTGGTGTTCTCTGGCGACTGCCAACAAAGCTGCATGGTGCTGGGCTGTGAGCACAGGTCCCGCTAGAGGACGTGGGGCCCTCATGCCACCCTCATGGAGTCTGTTTCTGACAGTGTGGTCAGAAACATGCACACCAGTAGCCTGCTGGAGGTCATTTTGTAGGGCTCTGGCAGTGCTCCTCCTGTTCCTCTTCACACAAAGGAGCAGTTTAACTGACTTGGTGTTGGACTGTGACCATTAAGTGTTCCCTTGATTTGTTTGAGCAGTGTGAATACTTTTAATTAGGCACAAATGACAAGAGAAACTGACAGTCAGCGCCACTGGATTAATCCACTGTTGGCCCCGTTCCTCCTACTGTGTGTGTGTGTGTGTGCAACACCATCTCCAGAAAACTTGAGTACATAATACGGCTACACATGTCAACAAATATTTTTATAGTACTGATTGTTTACCCAGTAAACAGCGGGACAGAGTCTCAGGTAGTGAACCAGGACTTGTCATAAGCCATTTAACATTTCTGCAAACATTGTGCCTGTTGGTGTAAACTCTTGTTGGTCTTTACTGTGGAATATGTGTGTGTAGATTTCTGAATGATTAGCAGCACCTCTCTGTCAGCGCTGATTTACATAAGCACACCAGCATCTCTTAAAGAGCTGCAGACTCCAGCACTGTTTCCAGCGACTCCCTTCCAGCCTCAGGACTTCCACTCTCCAATCAAAGCATCGAATACAAGACTGTTATTTGTGATTTCTCAAGTGCTTTTTCTCGTGACACAATCACTGCTTCAGAGCCATAAACTGTCTTTGGAAATAACAGATATATGGCTCTGAGGACAGCTGAAGGAACACCAGGTTTGCAGGACAGAGACAGCGGGGTCACTGTGACCTGCTGGCTTCTTTTAAGTGTAAAAGGTGTGTGAGTTATAGCTACACACACTTGACAAAAATATAAAATACACGATTGTTTTTGCTCCTAGTGGAACATTTTTGTCTTAAGCATCTTTTCCTAGATGTCTGATTAAAAGCTGTGACTCTCTGTCGTCTTAAAACGACCACTCACACATCCAGGCTACAACCTGACACTATGATATGTTAAAGTGCCGTATTTTGTACACACTCCTGATTAAAAGTCACTGTATTTTGTTTTAACACATCGTCACTGTTAGTGGTTTTTGTGTCTCAGTCTTTCATGCGTCATGCAAATCTTCAGTGGCAACCCATGGCGCCCTCTGCTGGACACGTACGCTCATGACAGCAAAACACACTGCTGAACATTTTAGTTAAAAACATGACACATAAAAGTAGGTTTTGTAATGCGGTTTATTTGATCAGGATGCAAATGTCAAGTACCTCACACAGTTTAACAAAACAGACTTTAACAATAATAAGAAAAATGTCCCAAATGTAAAAATATGTTTACATGACAATGGAAGACAAAAAGGTTTAACTCAATGGAAATGGCAGAGGGAAATAAAAACACTGCCCGTTTCGAGACTAAAAAAAACAGATTTACCAGATTTAATTAAGAAATCTTGGCAGAGTGATGGTGCTGCCCTCTGCTACACATAAAGACACCTCATGCTGGTCTCATAAAGCTGCTCCAGTGTTCCCACTTGGACGCCATTGTTGTGCTCTGACGTGTTCCCACAAAGAATTCACTGTCTGGAGCGTTCGTCCTCTCTGAAGTCAACACCAGCTGAGCTATGACTGAACATGTGGCAGGTAGCCAGGGGAAAATGTGTGTGTGTGTGTGTGTGTGAGAGTCGGACTAGCATGTTTTTCTATATACGTGTGTGAAAGTGTGCAGGGCTGGGTGTGAAATGTGGCATTGTACAGCAGGGGTGAAGAGGAGGCAATGGCTGGTTAGGTTTTGGGGTCTGCGCTGCGGCGTTTGAGCTTTTCGGGGTTGTTTGAGGCCATGTGTGAAAAGTCTCTGAAGATGTCGTGGTAGGTTTCATCACCTGGAAAAGAAGACCAGAGAAGAAGAGATGAGCTTTAAAGCGTAACATGTTTTAAGAGTAATACAAGCTGTTAAAGGGTTTCAACATGTTTTTGTGTCTGAGTGACAAATGGAGACAGCAGTTTTTTAATTTGTCCTGTATTGAGCGAGGGCGCTGCAGCCGGCAGCGGTGAAACTGGCTGCAACGCTGGCACTGAACATCAGTGTGACGTGAGAGGGACGTTTATGGAGACAGATTTGTGTCTGAATTTGTGTGAACACATCGAGATCATCCGTGTTTTAATCTGTAATCTGTAAATACAAAACTACTTCCACAAATACAAAAAAATAAACAAAAAAAACACACAAATCTGCAAACAAACAAACAATTACACAAATAAAACAAATATCTGTGAACAAATTGAATAAATTAACAAATAAATTAAAAAAAGAATCGTGAATACAACATTTACAACTTTCAAAGAGATATTTGGTTTTTTTTTATGTTTTTAAAAAAAAAAGAAGAAGAAGAATTTGTGTATTTGCAGATCAATTTTAAATTTGCGAAATATTTTTTTTATTTATGAATCTTTTTTGTATTTGTAGAATGCGTTTAAAATGTACAAATTACACATTAACACTCGGGTTGTCGATCACACAAATAATATTTAGACAAATCTATCTCCGCAGATGTCTGACTCTTACAGAAATTAAATTTTAGTTGGCATGAAAATCAAATTGATGACAGTTTAAATGACTAAGGACATTAGAATTTTACGTTGTGTGGACATTTACATCATGATGATACCTTACGACTAAATACTTAATTCTACGTCAAGATGACGTTAGCATGAGATGTTTGGAGGACGATGGATTTTGGTTACTTAACTTAAAACCAACAAGTTATCAACGTCACTGTCTGTCGTCAGTGTTCTACATCAAAGTGACATTGGCATTCGACTTTGTCCTGACATTGATTTGGGTTATCTGACATCACAACTTAAATTCAACCAAATATGTAATGATGTTTATAGCCAGCTGGGAGTCATGCAGGATGTTTGCAATGTAATTTTACTCACTGTACATCCACTAAAAGTGTTTGTTTTTGCCACTGACAGGCTCAGATTGTT